GCGAAGATATCTAATTTCATAGGGCCATAAGAGAAAAAATGTTAAAAAACAAGATGAAAAAATCCAACGCTCGACTTAATCAACAATTCAGATCCATCTTGGTTCGATTACTCGTCGAATATAAGCATAGAGAACTCAAAAATGTAATTTTAATCAGATTGTCATAGTAGTTGCATTAATGGTATAGCCGATGGTTAGTTGATTGTCTGATATTTCTCAGGTTAAAATGCCTATTGATATTAGTGTCTTTACCATTTGAAGATCATTTTGGTTTTATAGTGAATCATATTCATTAGTATGATGTAGCTACACGTGTCATAAATGGAGTACCAAATACGCTGTGTGACATCAAGGAATATATGCTTTCAACCAAAGTAAGTATTCCAAGTAGTCCAAAGGTTGTGTATATAATTTCGTAATGCAGCGCTATGAGCTGGACCTCCTTGGAGCCTCTTCTTTTGACTGTCAACAACGTACGAGTTTTTGTGGAATGTCTATTGCATAATATTGTATTTACTTTACTCACAAATCGTTCTCATGATAAAGTAACCACCTGTTTCAATTGGAAGCTTGCTATCTTTAATATGTTTACCTAGTATCTTTACCAAAGTTATCAAAAAAAAGGATAATTTGTATTTTAATTTCCTTGTGTGAAATTTTTAGTAAAGCCTTTCAACGCTTTGTATCCTCACAGGATTATTTTGATAATAATGATTGAAAGATGTCAGTTCCAAAGAATTTGTAAGTTTTATCCTTTTTAAAAAACTAATCAAAGATACCATTTTCGGTAATTTTTACGCATTCAAAAACTGCTGTAAATATTTGTAGTAGACTTCTAAAGATGCCATTGTCAACCGAATTGTAAACTGACCAGAAGACAAGAGAGACTATATTTAATAGGCAAGCATTACTTATTTTATTCATTAGTAATACACCTACAAACAATACTAATTAATCAATCTGATTGGAGTACAGACCAATGTCTATGCCTTGTTGACAAGCTTGTAATTTCCCTGAGAAATGCCACCTTATGCCCTGCTTCCCTCTACTACGCAATCATGATTGCATTTTCGTTTTCGAAATTTCGACTCAACTATCTCGAATTTTTCAATTTCTTCACAAAGTTTTGTTTCGCTCTTTATGTTGACGATTTCCGAACTAATTTCTCTACAATAGTTATAACACTTTCTGCAGGCGCCTATAAATTTCTGCATCTTATGGTTTGGTTTTGGTTTTTTGTCCTCTTCTAATGAAATGGATGTTTCCTTAACAGCTAGATTATTACTGGATTTAGTCAGAAAACAGTATAACAATACAAGGCTTACTTTTTCCAACCTCAAACCAACTTCCTTTTCGTAAATGGACTTTACGTATTTTTCTAATATATCAAAAACAAAACAATTTCACTACTGTTTTACACTTTTTCCTCTTGAACTGAAATTTAATGTGATTTTTTTCAGTTCCTATATTCCTCACATTCCTTACCTATATGAAATCATTTTAACGGTTAGGGCATTTCGTAGTCTTGGGTTTAAGTCTTGTAAAAATGACACGATCTGACTTATCTCCATTTTGCAATGTTTTGCCCATTGTAAAATATGCATCACCCATGCTTCAATATTTTCATTTGTTGTTTCACTTTAATGTCATCGTAGTCATGTTCATGACTTGTAACTTCTGGTATTTCCTTTACAATACCACTATCAAGATAGTGACGGTTGCCATTACTGCGGAGAGAATCACTTAGGTTTTTTGGTCAGTTGTGTTGTATGTCTGTGATAAATGTTAACACAGTTTTGGCTGCTGGATCCCAATTATTGTCAAGTTTACCAATTATGTCTATTAGGGTTGATCACCTAATTTTGTCAATATAACGAAACTATAATCAACTGCCATACAAGTGAGAGGTTAAGCTAGCAAAAAAAACAGGTTTCAACCATCATTTTCTTCGGAATGCCTATACCAAGTCAGGAATATGACACTTGTTTCCATTCGTTCCGTTGGTTGACATAGCCTAACGTTCGGTTTAGGCAGGAGTTATGAACTTCCCTCTTTCTGAATTTACCTTTGAGTTCAGTGTTTTTGTTAATACTTTGTTTTTAGGTCTTAATCAAAACCATTTTCGTCACTGATGTTGTCTCACTTACATCACACATCGCCAAAAAAGCAAGCCGCTATTATTTGGCAAAAATGGATTGTCATTTTCATTTTTAGAGACATAACAGTCATTTTATTGGATTGAGCTTATTGGAATAGGTCCTCGTTACTGTCCATTATTTAAATCTCTTTGTCTATCATTAATCAAAACTTTACATAAAAGTTTATAAGCAATTCATATTATCGATAAACATTTGATTACTCATTAAATATTACTATTGTATTCAATGGATATAATTACAAACTAGAAGTAAGTACGAATACAAGAAATCTTGAAGAGAGTCTAGAGGTTTAGTAGTAATTGTGCAATGGTAATTGGTAATCCTAGGGTAAATCCGCTACTATCTTAGGAATTGATCGAGTTGAGACGAGTGGATGCAGTGGTAGTTATCGCATGTTCGAAACCCGAATCTCAAAAAGGCTAGGTGAAAAATAAGTTGTATCATACATGTACCATAATGTTAGGATTTGTTTGTATATATGTATGGAACGCCATGACTGCCTTGTGTTGATGATCATCATCATATGCAGTAGCCACAGCATTATATGCAGTCGGGAAAGCATTATATGCAGTCGTGAAAGCATTATATGCAGTGGTTTAACATTATATGCAGTGGTCACAACATTACATCCAGTCGTGACAATGCTATATGCAGTGGTTACAACATTATATGCAGTGGCCACAACATTATATGCAGTCGTGTAAACATTATATGCAGCTGTCGGAACATTATTTGTAATGGTTTCAACATTATATGCAGTGGTCACAACATTATATGCAGTTGTGGTAACATTATATGCAATTGTCGGAACATTATACGTGTTTTGTTGATGAAGGTGATGATCAGTGATAATGATGATTGATGATAGTGATGGTGGTGGTTCAGAATCGGTAAACTTCGTAAATTTTTTATCGGAAATTGCCGAATCCAGTCATAATTGATCATGCCCCGCAAACAAAACAAAACAGTTATTGAAGTCATGTAATTTAGGCAATTCGATTGAAATCTTTATCAGAGAAAAAATAACACCTGCTATTGTCTGCAAATATTTATCTTAAGAAATACGCACGGCAAAATGTAATTTAACAATAATGAATGATAATAAAACCTTAAAACGCAAAACTTAGGTCGTAAGTTTTCTCAGTTGAATTGTTTCATATTTTTCATGTCGGGGCCTTTTATCGCCGACTATACGGTATGGGGTTTTTCCCATTGTTGAAGGCCGTACGGTTGCCTATAATTGCTTACATCCACTTCATTTGAACTTGTGGCTAGTTGTCTCATTGGCAATCATACCACATCTCCTTATTTTTATATTAACCGTGACAGACGGACAAACAAACGTAGTAAACGCTATATCCACTCCCAAACTCCGTTTTCCGAAGGGATGATAAAGAGATGCTAACTATAAATAAAAATGTTAAACTGGGTTTGGAAAAGGGTTAATTTTCCTAATAAAGTTTATATTTTGATATGAGCATCAACTATAACAAAAAAAAAGATGTTTATCTGAAGTTGTAAAATATGATCGATGCTTTCATCTCTTTGGTTAAGGCTGCTGCTCATATTTAGAAGACAAACTGCTTTAAGTGTTAAAAAGTTGGCAAAAGTTGGATGCAATTGATGTAAAGTTATATTAAACACCTACAATGAAATGCTTTAAACTACTAGTACATTTTCATATCTGTAAGATACTAAATCATGTAAAAATGCATAATTCTGAAAATCAAAGCCAAAAAAATGGCTCTATCATGACATATATAAGCTGGAGAGATATGGGACTTCGGTCTTATAGACAGCTGACTAATTTATTCAAAATGTATTTATGCCATTTAAACTGAATATCGACTATAAAGTGGCACCTAGCAATAGTTCTTCAGTAGGAAATGAACTCGAGGTATATAGTATACAAACTGTCCTTTGATATTTCTGCAGAGGCGAATTAAGAGGGGGCCCAGGGTGCCTCCCCCCCCCTTTTCGTGGGAAAAATTTGTTTGATTATATAGGGAATCACTGAAGCATGACTGGAGCGGACCTCCTCTTAGGCAGTCAGTACCCCCCCCCCCCCCCCCCCCCTTATGAAAATTTCTGGATCCGCCACTGATTTCATTATTATTAATCATTATTTTACTTACATTATGCCATGCGTATTTCTAAAGACGAACAGAACAAGTAAATGCATTCAACTCTTAGTTTCATCATTTCCTCGGAATGAAGTACCCCTAAATTTATAAAATTATGTCTGTCCAATTTGCAGACAATAGCAGGTGTTATTTTTTCTCTGATAAAGATTTCAATCGAATTGCCTAAATTACATGACTTCAATAACTGTTTTGTTTTGTTTGCGGGGCATGATCAATTATGACTGGATTCGGCAATTTCCGATAAAAAATTTACGAAGTTTACCGATTCTGAACCACCACCATCACTATCATCAATCATCATTATCACTGATCATCACCTTCATCAACAAAACACGTATAATGTTCCGACACCTGCATATAATGTTACCACGACTGCATATAATATTGTGACCACTGCATATAATACTGTGACCACTGCATATAATGTTGTGACCACTGCATATAATGTTACCACGACTGTATATAATGATGTGACCACTGCATATAATGTTCCGACAACTGCATATAATGTTATGACGACTGCATATAACGTTGTGACCACTGCATAATGTTGTGACCACTGCATATAATGTTGTTACCACTGCATATAGTATTGTCACAACTGCAGTCATGGTGTTCCATATATACATGTATGTATAATAAATATTATATGTCATGTTACGATAAGTAGCAAATAACATGTAATAAAAATATAAAGTGGACAACTTATATATTTAATGTTTTAAATGCTAATATTTATAAATCCAGTAAAGCCGAGTTTCATTTTTCTGATACCTCCTAAAATAAACACTTTAAGAACTTGGATTTTCGAATTTAAGAAATTATTAAGGGGAGTTCAAATGGAACATTTCCATTACATGAACTCCGGGTGAACCCCGAAACAGCGGCGACGTTGCGTTGCTAAACTATTAACGTAACGTAGCAAGAAGGACGTTACCAATGTTTTGGAGTTTGGTGAATTTTCCTTGTCTTTTGTAGTTCTTTCCGGTGTTAGAGTTGATACGTTTTCGATCATTTAACGATATTCTATAACCCTCTTTTGGGTAACCTATCACGATATGTTCAAATAATGTTTTTCTTGTGCTATTGTTAATATATACAAAAATCATAATAATGATCACTTATTCACGTGATATTCTGTTATAAATCGTCATTGCTATTCCAAAATCACATGACCATAAGTTGTTTCAGACATCACATTCAGGGTGTGTATTTCCAGACATAGCCAGAGTTCATGCCATTATTTCCCTTCAGACATTCTTCAGGTAATTCACACTTGAACACAATTTCTAATTTAGAACTGAGTGGATGGTTGATCAGAGGAAGTCTGCCTGGATCACCTATATACACAGATATTTTATTGTTTGATAATTTCGGAATCCAGTCACTAATTATGTCTACAAAGTGACGGTCATAAAACATATCGCCTAGCAGTACTGTGTTCCAGTGCGAGTCGATAGAACCAATCAGGTTTTCTGACGATACCGAAACTTCTGTTTGATTGGCTGTTGCATTCAAGTTAATGGCACCAATGGCAACTAAAAATAACAATTTATAACATATACAAAAAGAATTCGATATATATAACAACTGTTTCATTTATAATGACAATTAATTTAGCTATGAATGATGGCGACTATTTATGAGAATAACTAGACCTACACAAAATGTTGCATTGTGATTGGTCAGACCAATAATTTCCTGAAAAACAAAAACAAAAATTTTATTTAAAAAAAAAAGATTTTCTTTTCATCCGAAAACACTCAAAGAAGCATTACTAGCAAACAATGCCAATTTGCACAGGCACTGCACAATTCAGTAATTAAAAGTGTAAAACTTACTTTTATCTATGTCATTAGCAACAACACTGCGGGCACCTATCAGTTTACATGCAATGGCAGAGGCTCCACACCCACTTCCAATGTCAACTATGTTTTTGTTTGCAAAAATATATTGACTGTCCAATATGAACCTGAAATAGCATGTCAAATTAAAATCTCGGGTAAAACATTCTATGAATCCAAATAAAAAAGGCCGTATTCCGGCAGCTACAAATTTGTTTCTTGAATAAAATTTTGTTCAGGAGCAATTAACCCCAATTTCAAATTTTGTTAGCCTAAAATATCGGTCTATTTTAGTAAATATATGATGAACATATGAAAGAGTACGTCAGAGGACCAGCATCCACAAAGTGCATACTAAAGAGTATAGTTAATTCAGTACAGATGGAAGTAACACTGTGATTTGCCAAACAACCAACATGCCCTTCTAATATGAACATCCCCATATTAGGATCTTGCAATGTACCAAGTTTCATGACCTCCTAATGAAGCATGAGAGAATAACGTCCATATAATCCATAGAGAATAGTTTTGAAAGTTTTTAAGTTGTGGGGACATAATATATTCCAAAATAAAAAAAAACTAATTGGAGTAAAAAAAAATCGTAAGGGTTCCGCGGAACCCAGTGTCTCGCCTACTTTCTCTGTTAATCGTAGGCTCAACAAAAATGAGGAAGTAAATCAATAAAAATATTCCTCTTGATACTATCTTTTGATTGTAAGAAGCGTCTGTGCAAGTTTGGTAAAAATCCAGGATAGTTTATGAATCTAATAAATGTTTGAAAACTTTAACTGCAGACTGAATGTAATGTTAACTGGAAGAAAACAAAATTTCCTTCTAGATACTAGCATTTGATCATAAACAAGCTTCTGCCCAAGTTTGGTACAAATCCAAAATAGTATAAGAAAGTTATTAAAATTTTAAAAACTTTAACCACAGAGTGAATGTGTTGTTTCCTGGCAGAAAATCTAAGTCCATTTAAAAGTAAAATACGGAAAAAATGGATTTATTTTTTTACAAAATTTCCTTCTAGATACTAGCTTTTGATCATAAACAAGCTTCTGTCCAAGTTTGGTACAAATCCGAAATAGAATAAGAAAGATATTAAAATTTTAAAAACTTTAACCACAGAGTGAATGTGTTGTTTCCTGGCAGACAATCTAAGTCCATTTAAAAGTAAAATAAGGAAAAAATAATTATTTTTTTTTACAAAATTTACTTCTGGATACTATCTTATGATCATAAACAAGCTTCTGTCCAAGTTTGGTGCAAACCCAGGATAGTTTAAGACAGATATTAAAATTTTAAAAACTTTAACCACAGAGTGAATGTAATATTTCCCGGCAGAAAAACTAAGTCCATTTATAAGTAAAATACAGAAACAATAGAATTTTATTTTTACAAAATTTACTTCTGGATACTATCTTATGATCATAAACAAGCTTCTATCCAAGTTTGGTAGAAATCCAGGATAGTTTAAGAAAGTTATTAAAATTTCAAAAATTTTAACCACAGAGTGAATATTTGTGGACGCCGCCGACGACGACGACGACGCCGACGGAATGTAGGATCGCTATGTCCCGCTTTTTCGACTAAAGCCGAAGGCTCGACAAAAATGGTATTGCTGCAAAGTTGAAAATCATAGTCTGTAATTTTACAAAGTTTGGTTTAAATGGACAAATGACTACAAACTAAGTTGGGAAGGACCATCAAACGGACAGATAAATAGACAGACTGATTCCTGAATACCACCGAACTTTGTTTTGTGGGGGAGAAGCATCGACGACTACCTTCCAGTTCAGTCCCAATTTGTATATCTATGTTTCATAGCCGAAACCAAAACCACACGTATAGGTACAAGACTTATAATCTACAACTTTGTACAAAGGGCCAAGTTCAACTACATTCCTACAAAATTTAGTGAAGAGTACATGAGACAACAGGAAGAACACCGATACCAAAAAGACAAAAATAGAACAGACAAGGACGTCTGGGGTCATTTTTTTAAGTATGATTTTTAACCTTAGATATAGTTACAAAACAGTTATGTAATTCATAAACTGAAAATTGAAATGTGCAACTAGTAAGAATATTTGATTTATAGCTGCGTTATAGCTCGTAGTTTACGAACGTTTTATTTCAAATTAATTTATCATTAACATAAAAATAAGAAGATGTGGTTTTAGTTTTTTTTAGTTTGAACATATTTAATTCGCTTTAAGCAAAAAGGATGAGACGCAAGTAAAACATACTTCCATTCTCAATTTTATTATAAAGTTTCTTCACAATACAATATATATAACAATACAAATTGAATGTGAAAGAGCATTATATAATATAAACAACATAAATATGATATTACTAAACTATACTGAAAAATGGAAATCGGATGAAGAAAGAACGACAGAGATAAGAATGATGATGATACTGATGATGATGTACGTTTAATCTATGTTGATATTATATCACGAGGAATCTTTTTGATCTCTTTTTAAAATTTCAGACTTGTTCAACAATTTGCACATTTTGATCACAGGAAAGAGTCTCCTTTCCAAAAGCCAATAGTTTAATGTCCAAATTGCAGCCTTCGGGAAGCCAGCTTTAAACAGAATATCCCTTTCATTTAAATAGAAGATGCGGTATGATTGCCTATGAGACAACTCTCCACCAAAGACCAAATGACGTAGAAGTTATCAACTATAGGTCACGTACGACCTTCAACAATGAACAAATCCCATTCTGCATAATAAGCTATAAAACGCCCCGAAATGACAAATTTAAAACAATCAAAACGAGAAAACTAACAGCCTGATTTATGTACTAAACAATAAACGAAAACAAATATGATATACAGCAACAAACGACAACCACTGAATAACAAGCTCCTGACTTGGGACAGGCACATAGAGAATATGGCGGTGTTGAACATGTTTGCTGTTTACCCTCCCCTAACCTGGGACAATGTTGTAACAGGGCAACATAAGAATAAACTATGATAAACTGTTGACACAGAGATATGTCTCGCCTGTCGGTATAACATACAGAAAAAGACAATCGGATGGACAGCAACATTTTGCTAATTAATTCAAAGTCGCTGGACCATGAACTAGTGGGCACGGCCTCGAAACGGTCAACAAACTGAGATGAACAGACAGTAATGTAACTTTAAAGAAAATATCCTTGTCTGTTGTAAGTAGTTCCTATCAAACTAACTTAAGCAGAAAACTTAACATTGTAAATTGGTAACTAATTGAAAGTCTCTGGACCATGACCTACGGGGGCCAGGAGTCGAAATAGTCGTCAAACTGATATGTACTGATAGTAATGCAGCTTTATAGAAAATAGCATTGATTTATCACAAGTAGTTACTATCAAACTAACTTAAGCAGAAAACTTAACATTGAAAATTGTTTATTCATTGAAAGTCGCTGGACCACGACCAAGGGGGCAAAACTTAAAAAAAAGTCGTCAAACTGATATGTACTGATAGTAATGCAACTTCATACAAAATATCATTGATCTATCACAAGTAGTTCTTATCGAACTAACTTTAAAAACTAACAATTGTTGACGCCGACGACGCCGGGAAAGCAATTCCTATGTCTCGCCTTCTGCGACTTTTGTTGCAGGTGAGACAAATATTAGTTGAAAAGGACTTAACCCATCGAATCTATACAAAGCAGAAAAATAACTATCATGTACACTCTAAAGAGTGTAGTCATTGCATTCTGAGAAGTTTGAGATGTGATGCAAAACCTAATCGTTTAATATATGTAGGTATGAACATTTAATATTTCATTTTAATGTGCAATTGTGTTATAAAACCAGTGTAATGCTTTTCAATGTGAGTGTCATGTTGCCCATCAAGGGCCCTGAACTGGAATGATAATTATCTAAAAATATTTTCTAATATTCATAACCACGAAAATCTTGATATACTACTCACTAGCTTTTTCTGGATGTGAGTACTAGCGCTCAAATTAATATATGTTGAAGTAAAATGTTTCAATGTATTTGTCTATACTGATATTCATAAAAGTAAACTTGCCTGGTTAATACTTGTCCGCCAGGCCAATAAAATGCCCAGAATGGGTCAGGAAATGGCAAATCATCCCCTGTGCTGCACCACAGCTTACATCGTGGTGTTATAAGATGGAGAGCTATTTCTGGTGTAAGATGATCTCTAGATAACTCGGTCTGACTAAGTATTAAACTGGTGATGCTACGACTTGTATGACAGGCTCTTTTTAACAGCTGATATCTTACAACATGCAATAATCTCATTTGTCCGTGTTTTGTTTCTGAAACAAAATAAAAACATATGCTAGGATTTATAGTATTCTCTTTTTTGCTTTTGTGACCATCTTATGAAGAGGTATGTTTCTATTCACCACTTTATATCATGCAAAGTATACTTATAATTTCACAATGATCAAATGTTTGATGTTTGCTGTATGTCGCCTTAAGTTCCTAAATTTTTCGTATATAAACACACACCAATCAATCAGTAACTCCTTCAAACCAATGTAAAAAAAATCATAACGGGTTCCGCGGAACCCTGTGTCTCGCCTGCGATTGCTGCTGTTAGTTTAAAAGTGTAATGTTGACATAAAAAAGTGAGTTCATTTATCAGTAAAATACAGAATTTAAAAAAACAAAAACTTGTTCACTAAATGTTATTTCATGGTCTTTTGTGAAGATTAGCTTTTGTCCAAGATTCATAACAATCCATGAACGTGTACAAATGTATCGTGTCAAAAAATCTTAATCCCAGATTGTCTGTAAATGTTAACTGTAAAAATAATAAGTCCATCTATCAGAAAAGTACTGAAAATGAAAAAAAAAATATTTTCAAAAGTTTGCTTCAGACATTATCTATTAATCATAAAAAAGCTTCTGTCAAAGTTTCATAAATTTCTATGAAGTTTTGATATATAATTGATGTGTAACAAAGTTTAGCCCAGACTGTACCTATTCATTAAATGTAAAAAAAAAATCCAGTTATCAGTTTAATACGAAAAAATGAAAATAACTATTTTACATTTTTTTTCTTAATACTGTCTTTTGGTCTTAACTAAGCTTCTGTCCAAATTTTATAAAATTCCATGTAGGTTTGACAAAGTTATTGATGTTTCAATAAACTTTAACCTCAGACTAAATCTGAATGTCGACTAAAAAAAACTAAGTCCATTTATCAGTAAAATACGGAAAATGAAAACAAATATTTTAAAAATTTCGCTCTGGATACTGTATTTAGGTCATAAACAAGCTTCTGTCCAAATTTCATAAAATTCCATGTAGGTTTGACAAAGTTATCGATGACTGAAAAGCTTTAACCTCAGACTAAATCTTAATGTTAACTGTAAAAAACTAAGTCCATTTATTAGTAAAATACGGAAAAATGAAAATAAATATTTTCAAAATTTTGCTCTAAATACTGTATTTTAGTCATAAACAAGCTTCTGTCCAAATTTCATAAAATTCCATGTAGGTTTGACAAAGTTATTGATGTCTAAAAAAAACTTTAACCACAGACTTAACCTAAATGTTGACGTCACGACGCCGACGACGGAATCTAGGATTGCTATGTCTCGCTTTTGCGAAATAAATTACGCAGGCTCGACAAAAATAAGTAACGGTATTCAAACTGATCATGCGAATCTTACTGTAGCAATTTAATACTTCCTTGAATATAATACTTCGATGCTTGCTATATTAAATGTTGACAGATGTTTAACCTTCACATGGTAAAAAAAATTAAGCAGTGTATACAAATACAACAATTATCATAGTCTTTAAGGTATAACTGTTTCCTGAAAATTATTCACAAGAAACACCAGGAAATTATATAGGAATTCATAAGACGATTAATACCATATTCAAACAAAACATAATAAAACAGGGACGTAAAATATACAAACAGCGTATTTACCAACTCAACTTGTATTTTAAATGATACATCTATATATGTACACAATTGATAAATCTTAAAACATTTGTTTGTCAAGTTTAAAACCGACAGGTAATACACATTCGTCGTATCAATAAGCCAATACACGTCCAGGAAGTAGACGTAAACCCCCTTTTTGAGACATGAACAGGAAATTACTGTATTATTTTACTAAGTGTTATTTTACATATTAGAATTAAGACGTAATAGCAAGGTAAGGATATTTTTATGCTATGAAAATTTTCATGAGAATAGATTTTTCACACTTTTAAATGCTGTCTGTGAGAGTTTTCTCATTCGATGTAGTATTATCACCTTTGAATATGATATGCATGAAGTGACACACAAAATATGGGGAAATTAAAGGTAGCACAAAATAGCGTTACAAATAAACTACTGTATATCTGGGAACATTTAACTACAGTGTGAAAAAGGGCGTATGACATTTGCGCCGATTTTATAAATTTTCAATCTTTCATTTGCGCCGATTCAATAATTTCAAGTTCCATTTGCTCCTTTTTGCATTTTAGTGCTGTGCTTTTTTCATGGCGTAAAGAGGTTTTTATTGTCCTTTGATATTTCAAAGGCTGTAAATATATATTTATATCATTTGATATTTAATTGCTATACTCAGTTATTTTAGTGGATGTAAAAAGAGTGCTTTTAACCTTAAAATTGACTTGTTTTGCTCGAATCCTGCTTCCACCTCCCAATTGTGGGCAGAGGGCAACAGTTATATGCATGTTTTAATTGATAATTCATAACACATGTAAAACTGGCTAGCGGAAGAGGTTTATAATAATAAAAAAAAAAAGTTTTCATCTGTAATTTACCTGTAAAACAATCGGCGCAAATGAAAGAAATAATCGGCGCAAGTGAAAGAAAAAATCGGCGCAAGTGAAATGCAGATCGGCGCAAATGCAAATCGCCGATGAAAAGTACTAATATGTATGTCACTTAGTATATGAGAAATGAACTTTGACTTAACACTTAACATATAACAATGAAGTGAAATGCTAATATTTTCACATAGATGCGTTCTTACACTAAAGTTATTTGATTTGAGGTCACTTAGTAACTGGGAACTGAACTGAATACTGTAAATTCACAAATTATTGCGTGCATTTATTATTGCGATTTTGTCATTTTAGCCTAAAATGCGTTTTTAATTTTTGCGATATAGAGAAAAATCCTGTTTAATTAAAAAAAAAAAAAATTTCAAAATGCGAGTTTAAATTATTGCGATAATAACCCTGTCGCATTTTTCGCAATAATAAAAACATCGCAATAATTTCTGAATTTACAGTATGTCAGTGAAGCGTAAAATGTAGTTCAGATTGACCCCTTTTTATTGGCATGATGCGGTATAGTCCCATAGATACATCCTTACATAAGGTTATAAGAGTATATGAGAACTAAACTCGGACATAAAACATATTGTAGTCAACGAAATTTAAAAATCAAAGCCACTCAACCGTAAGATATGGATCTTACGACTTGCTTCTTATAACACGTGGCAAGTCTCTCGAAGGCTATTTATGATAATAATGACTGCATGTTGTGTGTCAAAAAAATAAGGAAATATGGCATGTTTGCCAGCGAGACAACTATTCAACAGAGAGAAAAAAGGACGAGGATGTAAACAACTAATGGGCACTGTACGGCCTTCAACAATGAGCAAAACCTATACCGTATAGTCAGCTATAAAAGATTCCGGTCATGACATATAAGTTTCTGGAAAATTGTTGTGGACGCAGACACGACGTTGAAACCTTCATTACTCCAAGTGTCCCTGATAACTCAGTTGAGATGAATTAATGACAGAAACATTTATACCTGTTGTTTAAAGTTTGACACATAAAACTACAAATATATCATTAATGCGAATAGTTTACAGCCGCCACGCTAAAGGTTCTAGCGTGAGTTATTACAGAGCTAAGTCGCTCACATTTATTGTGCTAAAAGATGTTGTAAATGGGGACGAAGGAAAGTAAGATTGAGAGTATAAGAGTGGATACAATGCAAATCATTAACGGGATTTATCCGATTTACACATTGAGACAAATATGGGAAAAACTTCCGTGTCTTTCTTCTTTTCCTGTCCATCCTGTATTACTCAGAATCCAATATCACTCTCAATTGTCGCAAAGGATTATACAGAATTAAGTATATCTTTTCTTCATTATTATTGGTCTAACAAGGACCACATCTTTGAATATGTATACGATAACTTCTTGTATGGGTAATACAATAACTTGGTATACTTGACAATCTTACAGAGATAGCGGAAGCTGAGGCGAGAGATATTCTAAGGACGTTTTTCCGTGTATAAGATGAACAGGATAAAAACAATTATAGATCGTTGTTATTTATTTTTTTCAAGCGCAATTATATGCAAATAACACCTAAACATCAATAGATTATTAAAAATAAATTTGCGATTGTCTGATACGAGCTAGCAGAAAAAGGGGGGTCATCAGTTGTTACTTTTATAAACACAATAATTGTACTGTGCTATTTAAACAAAAGGTAACGGAATAAAGAATTTGACACACATTACAGGTAAAATTTTATGATAAGCAAACATGACGCGCAATATCGGAAGTTTTCCATATGTAATTGAATATTTATTTTCATAAAACTCTATATCTTTCTGGGTAGGATACCGCATTCTTATCATACATTATTGAAACGATCCCCATAGAACTTTACGAGTCGCCTTTACATGTTGGCAATAAAAAAAACAAAAACAATCAAACAAAGACAAATAAAGCTATAATTGTAGAAAATAATGTAGTAGCATTGGATCTCTCCGAACATTTGAACAACTGCGTGTGTTCGGAATATTAAAGTAAAAAAAAAAACGATTCAAACATATTATATTTTTATATAACTAAAGATCGGCATAAAAGACTGTGTTCAATGCCGCGCTTACAAATAAAATTTAACGAAAAGTTTTGCAGTACACAATAGATACCATCAAGTAGAAAAACCTAAAGAGTAAGGCAGCACATTTCAACCACAGGCGCAAACGGAATAACCCCTCTCTCTGTTTTGTGATAAGATTTTCAGAAAATTGTGGATCCTTCCCCGAAGTGTCTGTGATTTCGATGTTTATCATTTTATACTAAACATGTTTGTAAAATAGTACACACAAATTTAAACCGCAGTTTAAATTTTTGACAGTTATGTAGTAAATGTTAAGATAATAATTCATGTATGGTAATTCCATGTCATCTTCAATTTTTTATATCTCTGTTTGCAATGATAAGGTAAGTTGTGACTACTTCAAATATATGTTTCCTAGAAATCATTACTTTTACGGATGTTTGAACATTTAGGTTTTTGTTAAGTTGGAGAAGTATAAAGCACTGATTGATCGCCTTTCCTTCTTTTTGTTGAAACAAGAATACTTTTCAGACGGTAGTTGAACTTTCAAACAATCAGCTTCCGTTTGAGGGGGTCTCATTGGCTTATTGTTTTGTCAGAATCCCGTATCCCGCTTATCATTGTAATAATAGCGCTTGTAATTTCACGATTCGCGCCCTACTTCGTTTCCCCCTTTTTTACGCAAAAATAATTTGACTTTCACGTGTCACGCCTACAAAAAATCGGCCAATCCCGCATCACGCTTAGACCCCAATGAGACCCACTTTGAGTATGTGCTACTGAGGGAAAATACAGTAAGCTTTTTAAATCAATTATTTACAACACAAATATCTTAATCTCTTCAGTAGTAAGTATTAAAATGATTCAATTCATCCGGTAGTAAATATTGTTAAAACAGTCACTTCCGTCTTGTCAAGATGGCCAGTCGTCGACCGTCTATTCTTTATATTGATAATGCATCTTTTACTTTACGTCCCAGTTTCAGAAACCGACGCAAAATGCCCGGATTTTCCATCAGAGACCCTCATCGACACGGAGGAGCAAAAGTGTCACGTGGACGATGGTCGAGTTCGGTTGAACTTCTAAAGATTGAAGCAATGAAAAGTATATGGTATGCCTTCCAGACTCTGATCGATCCACAAAACGAAATGGTTCAAATTCACACATTAAAGGTAAGATCTTTTTACATTAAAGTTTTTTTTTATTTTCACGGAAAAGATCGAATTAAGACTTATCATCTTTCCATCAAATTGTGCAGTTTAATCTATATATTTTACGTCGCCGTATTAGTTTACTTACAACTGAATAGAGCACTTTTGTAAATTAGTTTCGCCCAAAGCGCATAATTTCTGTATTTACCTTCACCAGCGAAGATGCTTCACCAGCAACGCTTAAAACTAAACATGTATATTGAACATGTAACTTATTTCAAGACTTCAAACGAATCTCGATTAGTTTTCATTTCAACATTAACATTAAATGTTTCCATACTTGTACATTTATAGGTATTGACTGCCAGCATAGGAAATGCTCTAGGGATAGAAAAATCAGAAGAACTCCATGACAAAACCGACCAAACAGAATTAGATTTCAAATCATATTTTGTTATTCTTGAATCATTAATGTTTGAACCGTTATCCAGAGTCTCAGATGAAACCATGGACTTGTCAAGCATCGATTATCAACATGTACACCAAGTTTGTTGGGTTTTATTTTACAATAATCAAAAAGGGAAAACAATACCAGATGACGTGCCAGAAAACATTGCATTTAAATTGTGGCTGATGTATAATTTGTTTTCAGAAGAAGACGATTCGAATAAACCTATTTTCCCACTCAAATTAGATCCAGAAGAGGCATCCACAATTTTTGAAGGAATTTTAACACAAACTGGAAATCATAATTTATTATGTAGTGCTACTGAAGACTTCGGTGATGAACCCATGACATACCAGAAATATCTGGCAACATTCTTTGTACATATCTTTAAACATGTGAAAGAAGGAATACTTAAATCATCTGTAGATACCGTCCATGAACAGTTTGTCATTGACATTTTAAAAAAGGTTGGTGCTCAATAGAATATGGTGTATAAAAGTCTAAACAACAATTAACAATTCTACTTTAATTAGAAGTCCAGAAGTAAAACTGTAATGACAACATTTGATAAGGCTAAATAATGGGGTCGCAACTGTCGTATTAAAACCTGATATGTTGCTGTTTATTAATCAAAGGAGGAAGTATACATTTTTTGATAGTTTTGGGACCCGCAAATATAGTGGTATCTTGGTATTAAAAGCATGGGATCGGAAACAAAAATGACAAAATGGACAAAAGGTGCAGAATAAAGGGCCATAAAAATAAAGAATAGAGAATAATGGGTTGCTAAAATACACAGAATAAAGAATAATAGACAAAAAAGATAAAGAATAGAGAAAATCGACCAAAAAATAAAGAAATGAAGGACCCCCCCCCCCCCCCCCCCCATCCAGACCCTCATTAACATGCTCTCGTCCTGGTATGTAATACTTGCCATTGGACGTTAAACACCAATCTGTCATCATAATATAAAAGGGACCAAACTCGTTGGTGGCTACTAAACATAGAATTTCTATTTTTATAATACGTCAATGAATTTTGTATGCCTTTGTAATAAAGTGCATGGCCATATCTAAAATTATCCTGTGTATAGATAAGCCAAAAAATTAATAAAAAAAAACGTAATTTATTATTGTACAAGGAAAATCTCTTGTCGAACTTAATTCAATATTTGTGTTCGTTATCAAGATCAGTGCATTTATTATGTAAACATAAAACAATTTGACCTTTAGTCGTAAATATCCGTGTAGCAAGCAGTGAAATTGTATATAGGAAAATAAAGTCAGTCTATGTTTTGTGTAAACAAGATAAACGTAATGAGAAAAAAAAAAATCTGTTGTGTGGTTGCTACCTCATTGATGTATCCGTAACGACTCCTTCAGCTACAAGAAGATGTTCGTTAATTAGGAAAAAAGGATTATGTATATTGTTTTAACAATCGCTGAATAATAAGGTTACTTTGACACGAAGCTATTGTATACTGTTCCTCTTCTAGTTGTAAGGATTCATTTCCCTAAAAAAACATTTTTTTTTTTGCTTTATGAAAGAATCATTTTTCAGGAAGTACTATTCACAAGAGCCTTCTTCCTTATATATGTCGTATGAATGGAACAAAGAAAGGAATTGTATATATCTAAGATATACAATTTATTGAATTCCCCAAAAAATGACATCCAACACGAAAGAAAAAATTCAGAGAGACATTAAATTATCACTTAAAATTGTTCTCGCAAACTTACCTATAAATGTACTTAACGCTTGTATAGACCAAAATTTTTTTTCATTGTAATTTTAGGCATGCAAGTTTTCTTCCTTTTGCAGGAAAAAAACAGTGTACATGTTATTATTAATAACAAATGCACTGAACACGAAGGTCTTTTCTAAAATTTCAATGTCTATATATGACACTCACCAGGTAAATAAAACATATAAGTAAAACGGTTTTAAATATTTATAAAGGTCACAGGTCTTGTGAATGAGATGTCAGGTCGCCCGTCATCCTCCAAGGTCACTGGTCGGATTTGACCATGTAGCAGCCACATATATATATTTATATACAGGGGCGGATTCGGGCGGGGGCGTAGCGGGCGTGCCCCCCCCTAAAATTTGCAAAGTATGGGTTGTCCTCAGCTTAATAAAGAATATTTCGAAAATTTAAGTTTGCGCCCCCCCCCCCCCCCCCCCCCCTCACCTAAAATCCTGGAACATCCCCTGATATATAGATACCATCTTCTTTTTTGGGGTTATTCTTGTAAGACGGCTATCGATTTACTGCTAAAGTCATAACTGTCATAACTTGGTGTAGGCACTTTTGAATGGACCAACGTCTAAAACCGCACACCAGTATGATATTTATTGCTATGAATCATGGAGTGTATGTTGCTATAGGTGTGTTAATACATTATATTGTCACAAGATACATATGGTATCTTCTTAGATATCGGTATATAATTTCGTCTGTATTAAAAGGACTTAAAAACACATGATATGTTTTCTAGGGAAACTTATTAAAGCGTGGACACCAAGTTAAGAACTGGAAGGAAAGATACATGGTTCTAAACCCAACAGAACTAAAGTATTATGCCTCATCACATCAAAAACACATGAAGGGAACAGTCGTATTCAACAAATCTCAAACTGTAGAGGTTAGTAAAATTTACTTAATCAAATAAAACTGAAAATCCATAACATCATCAAATCAGAAACATGAAGTGGAGTATTTAACAAATCTCAAAGTGTACAGGTTAGTGCTTTCTTAAAAGTAATAACATCATCAAATCAGAATTATATGAAGTGGACTGTAGTAGTCAGCAAATCTCAAACTAAAGGTTACTGAGTATTTACTAAATGAAACTGCAAATCTAAACATCAACAAATCAGGAACATATGAAGTGAACTGTTGTTTTTGATGAGCCTTACATAGTTGTGGTTCGTGTCCATGTACGTAAAAGAGTGTCGAATGATACCGAAGGGATGTTTACACTCATAATTCGAAATCAAACTGACATTTCAATGGCAAAATACGACCAAAAGACAAACAACAGTACACAAAACACAACATAGAAAACTAAAGACTGAGCCCCACTATAATCCAGCGTGATCTCAGGTACTCCGGAATGGTAGGCAGATGCTGCTCCACATGTGGCACCTGACTCTTTACGGCAGATGCGGATCAAGGATTTAGAAAAAAGGGGAGGAGGCCAAAACAACAAGACAACGTTTGGAGTGGAACTTGTAAAAAGTCTATGCATTGACCATATGCGTAGCTCCATAAGCCCCCTCCTTATAACCACCTCTGCACAGACCTCAATATGTTATTAAACAAAATATACAACAAAACCACTCATAAATCCACTTAATTTGGTACAAAAAACATCTAAGACATCTCTCATCAAAGTATCTTATAAAGTAATTGTTGGTCGTACCAAGATAGTAATGACACATTTCAAAATGAATCTAGTATGACAGTTTTATTTCAATTTTCACTTTAATATCATAATGCACAAAGTTTTAAAGTACCGGTAATACATGAAAGGATAACAGAATTACTGAAAATATCGGTCAGTACATGATCAGATGACACACACCAACAATTACAGCTCTAATTCAATGTCATTTTGACTATGCCTGTTCTGCATGGTATGCTGGTGTCAGCAAAAAATATAAAGATAAGTTACAAGTATTACAAAACAAATGTGTTAGATTTATAAAAAATACTGGATATAGATCAAAAGTTGACCATGATGTATTGAATAGTATTGGTTATGTTAATATTGAAAATCGTGTTAAACAATTGAGATTAAACCATGTTCATAATATCTATTACCATCATTGTCCTAATTATATGTATACAAATTTTACAAAGGTGAGACATCTTCATCATCATTTCACACGAAATAGTGAATATGACTTCTGGGTTCCACCAGTAAAGAGTCAACAAAAAGATACATTTTATTTTAATGGCATACAAGATTGGAATATGTTGCCAAATAATGTTAAAAAAATAAAGAAAATAAAGGATTTCAAAATTAGTGTTAAAGAGTACTTGACCAAAAGTTATAGTGCGGCCTCATCAGACTTCTTTTTATATTATTAAACTCATTTTTTATTCAAAATATTCTTATATGAATTTTTTATGTCATATTAATTTGTGTGATATCTTTTTTGTATGTCTAAACTATAAGCCGTTTACATGTAGGGACCCCATTGGAAACAAGCTTTAAAGATTTCATGGGTTATCCCTGATAAAATATCAGCAAATTTTTTCCATGCAGTTAACGATTATCTACACTCATAAAATACCATTATATTTTACAAAGTATGTGTTAGTAATGTCTTTATGTATCGTATATATTGAGTATTGTATTAACTCATATGCTTGATATTTTATTGAATAAAATATTATTATATTATATTATTATAACAATACCAACTCATGTCTGCAAAACGATGTACTAACAAAGACAAACAACAACACATTGTCCAGATAGCCTTGGAGTGAGTGAGGCACTGAGTGGGGTTAAACCAGTTTTACGTACACACCCCTGTCAACGTATATTTGTTCCGCCTAACAGAAGTTCCACTGGAAACTTTGTTATAAACAATTTCATAATATCTGTTCCTGTTGGAACAAATATCCTATACCATTTATTCCGTTAGAAACATATACTGTAATATTTATTCCAGTGGAAATAATATTCCAGAATATTTTTTTCCATTTGGAACTAATATTATGAAGGAACTTCTATTTCGTGACACCCCTACTCTGCTTTAATATCTAGAAAATATCATAAGTAATCAAGGTACTTTTTTGGTTTTAAGTAAGCAGGGGCACAAAAATCATATTTGGATAGAAGAAATAACTAAAGTCCTGCATTGGTAAACGATTTATAGCTATATAAGAGAACACTACTCTGTGAAATATGACAGCTGAAATTGAAACTAGCAAATGAAACTTCCATATTTGGCTTTGACAAAAAAACCCAAGAAATACAACCCTCAGACTTAATTGACTAATTTATGACTACTTATCAATTCAAAAAGGAAGTTTTTGCATTTATGCATTACATAATGTGTAATAACTATTAACAAAAGTAAAGTAAGGGTGCTACCATTTGATTTTTATGGGAGGGGGGCTAGGATGAAAAATGTTGTCCTGCATTTTTTTTAGTTGTAATCTCTGTCCTGCCTTTTTATTTTTCACTCTCATGATTCGGTCCTGCCTTTTTTTTATTAGTTTATCCTGACTTTTTTTACATAAATTGTCATCCTGCCTTTTTTTTTGGGCCAAGTTGCTCATCCTGCCTTTTTTTCTCTCAAAACTCCTGTCCTGCCTTTTTTTCAAATTTCATCCTAGCACCCCCCCCCCCCCCCCCCCCCCCCCCCCCTCCCCCCATAAAAATCAAATGGTAGCTCCCTAATGAAAATATGAAAAAAAAATTAACATCTTACTTCATTCAATTAAATTCAAAGTTAAAATTTTCAGCTCTAAATAAATAAATGCGTCTTTTAATTCTTTAATTTATTTACAGATATTACCTGATAAAGGTGGGAAACATAATCTGTTTGTACTCAATACACAACAGAAACCATATGAGATGAGTGCTTTGGACTTGAAGACTAGGAATGAATGGGTTTCATGTAAGTTTATTTAAGAGAGGATAACAGAAGGGAGTTGAAACTGTACAGAACATTTTTTTGTTCAGTAGTTGGTACATTATAGAAACCATAACAGACGAATGCTGGGTATTTTATGTCCAGTGGCATATACTACATGCATATCAGGATGAGTTAATGTGATACGAATATGAACTTGACCCGGCTTTGTACTTGATTAACACCCTAACAAGCTACTTCACAAGGTAACAGTCTGCAGCAAGACATGTAGCCATACCCAGACATTATAAGTCTCACTCCGAGCCGACCAGTCTCTATTCTTACTCATGAAAGCCACATGCTTAGTGGAGAAGCAGAAAATTACAATTTTCATATCTTTAGTTTGAAGTGGCTGTTGATCAAACAAACAACCTCCAGCACTCAAAGCGAGCTCGCTATCAGCAAACCACCGAGGTTTTACAATTACAGATGATCATAAGTGATATGGAATAATGAATCAGTTAAATAAAACCAATACAATGATGCATATTAAAATAAATTAAATGCTCCGCAGGGCGCAGCTTGATACGACCGCAGAGGTCGAACCCTGAACAGTTGGGGCAAGTATGGACACAACATTCAAGCTTGATACAGCTTTGCATTTGGATTGTGATTAAATATTTGACACAGCATAGGTTTCTGACACAGAATGAATGTGGTCTAAGAACTTAAAAATTTTAAATTGGACATTCACCTATTATGGTCCAAAATCTAAATACATGGTTAGATTCAGCATATCAAAGAACCCCAAGAATTCAATTTTTGATGAAATCAAACAAAGTTTAATTTTGGACCCTTTTGACCTCAATGTGGACAAAGTTGATAACGGGGCCCAAAAATCAAAACTCTAAATACATGGTTAGATTCAGCATATCAAAGAACCCCATATATTCAATTTTTGTTGAAATCAAACAAAGTTTAATTTTAGACCCCAACTTGGACCAACTTGAAAACTGGGCCCATAATCAAAAATCTAAATACATGTTTAGATTCAGAATATCAAAGAACCCTAAGAATTAAATTTTTGTTAAAATCAAACTAAGTTTAATTTTGGACCCTTTGGACCTTAATGTAGACCAATTTGAAAACGGAACCAAAAATTAAGAATCTAAATACACGGTTAGATTCGGCATATCAAAGAACCCCAATAATTCAATTTTTGATGAAATCAAACAAAAGTTTATTTTTGGACCCTTTGGACCTCAATGTGGACCAATTTAAAAACGGGGCCCAAAATCCAAAAACTTAATACACGGTTAGATTCAGCATATTAAAGAACCCCAAGAAGTCAAGAATTAAAACCCCATTGAAATTGGTCAAGAAATAAGCAATTTATACGAAGTATCTTCTTTTGCACAATACTGTGCAATTAAATATTTCTTGCTATTGCGCAATACTGTACAATTGACAATTTCTTGCTATTGCGCAATACTGTGCAATTGAAGATTTCTTGCTATTGCGCAATACTGTGCAATTGAAGATTTCTTGCTATTGTGCAATACTGTGCAATTGAAAATTTCTTGCTATTGCACAATACTTATTATATAATAATTTACACATCCTGTTTGGTGTGTATCTCCAACCATATCATTATTATTTGCTTTTAAATATAAATCAGAAATAACCAACTTAAAATGTAAAATTTTAAAAGAAAAAAAAAGGAATAAAAGAAAAAAAAGGAAAAAAAAAAATCCCCCCCCCAAATTTTTTGAACCCCCTTATGATTCATCACCCCCAAACTCAATCCCAGCCTTCCCTTTGTGGTATGGTACCTTGCAGTACAATTTCAGAGAGATCCATACACTTGAACACAAGTTATTGTCTGGAAACTAGAAAAATGCGTTTTTTTTACCCTTTTTGGCCCCAAATTCCTAAACGTTTAGGGCAATTACCCCCAAACTCAAACCCAGCTTTCCCTTTGTGATATGAAACCTTGTAGTACAATTTCAGAAAGATCCATACACTTACACACAAGTTATTGTCCTGAAACTAGAAAAATGCTTGTTTTTTGCCCCTTTTTGGCCCCTAATTCTTAAAATATTGAGGCAATTACCCCCATCATCAATCCCAGCCTTCCCTTTGTGGAATGGTACCTTGCAGTACAATTTCAGAGAGATCCATACACTTGAACACAAGTTATTGTCTGGAAACTAGAAAAATGCTTATTTTTGGCCCCTTTTTGGCCCCCAATTCCTAAATTTTTCGGCAATTACCCCCCAAACTCAATTCCAGCTTTCCCTTTGTGATATGGAACCTTGTTACAGTACAATTTCAGAAAGATCCATACACTTACACACAAGTTATTGTCATGAAACTAGAAAAATGCTTGTTTTTTGCCCCTTTTTTGGCCCCTAATTCCTAAAATATTGAGGCAATTACCCCCAATATCAATCCCAGCATTCCTTTTGTGATATGGAACCTTGTTGTACAATGTCAGAGAGATCCATACACTAACACACAAGTTATGTCTGGAAGTTACAAAAATGCTTATTTTTGGCCCCTTTTTGGCCCCTAATTCCTTTACTGTTGGTACCATAACCCCAAAATCAATCCCAACCTTCCTTTTGTGGTATTGAACCTTGTGGTAAAATTTCATAGAGATCCATTTACTTAAACTAAAGTTAGAGTGCGAAAACCAATGTGTCTTCGGACGACGCCGGACGACGCCAGACGACGACGACGACGACAACGTCATACCAATATACGACCACAAAAATTTTTTTGCGGTCGTATAAAAATGGCTTTTGTTCACTACTGTAATTTCAATCTGTATGGCAGGTATACAGATAGCCTTAGACAACTGTGAAAACCCTCACTATCACCATCATAAAGAATTATCTAAACAGCGCAGACAGAAACGAAATATCATCAAGATGGAAAAAGAAAATGAGGAAAGAAAAAGACAAGAGGAGGAAGACTTACATAGACAGACAGAAGAAGGATATAAACAGGTAATACAAAGGATGTGGTAGCAATTGTGAACTTATAAAAGATCAACAGTTAATATCCAAACAAACATTTAAATATATATATCATATCAGAAAATACCACTTAAAACCACTGTAACGGTAACTAGAAACATATCATATAACATCAACAAATGGAAAAGTTAGTAACGGGAACACCAAATAATCAACATGTAGAACAGTTAGAAGGGGAACACAATATAAAATCAACAAATGGAACAATTCATAATGGGAACACCAAATAATCAACATGTAGAACAGTTAGAAGGGGAACACAATATAAAATCAACAAATGGAACATTTCATAATGGGAACACCAAATAATCAACATGTAGAACAGTAAGTAATGGGAACACAATATAAAATAAACATATGGAACAATTAGTAATGGGAACACCAAATAATCAACATGTAGAACAGTAAGTAATGGGAACACAATATAAAATAAACATATGGAACCATTAGTAATGAGAACCCATATTAAATCAGGACGTGGAACAAGGAATAAGGTGATGACCATTTGATTTTCAGTAGGGAGGAGGATTTTGAAATGAAGTCAAATACTTTAGCAAATGAGTGTACAAGTCCTTCATAATTGAATTTCTATTTTTCAGAGAGAACAGATGAATGAGGAGATGCTCAGACAGAGGAACCTGGAATTAGAGGAAGAAAAAAGAGTAAGGGTTCCTTAACTTGTAACAAAACAAGCGTTTCTGAAGAAACCCTAAGGCAACTTTTAGATATCAATCAGTGTGGATGAAGAAACCCTTAATTAATGAAATCTGGACATGTCCACTAGTATGTCTGAATAATCCCTAAATGAAATTTTGTATGTCAGAAGAAATCCTAAAGGAAACTTTCAGATGTCACCTAGAACATCTGAATACATCAAGGATCTTTCAGATATCCATACTACTGAAACTGATACTAAGTACCTTTTTTTTGTAAAAAGGAAAACATTATAATGATGATAGAAATTTCTGATATTTTCCTTAGTTATTCCTTTGTATTCTACTAGTTTAAATAATAGCACTTCATATTCTGAATTCTATTCAAACTGTTAAGCTGAAGATTATTATAGGTGTCAAACACTCAAACTTCAAAATATCAATCCTTCCAGGAATGTCTAGGCAGCCAGTTACTGATATGATTAAAGGGCTCTGTAAACACATTACATTATCATCCATAAAGTGTAACTTAAGAAGCCATGTCCTTTATGTTATATTTAAATATTTTTCCTTCCTCCTACAGCGAAGGGAACAATTAGAAGCACAACTAAGAGAACAAGAGGCCCTACGAGAAGCTGAGAGACAGAGGTTGCTGGAATTAGAGGCTAGTAAATCAGAGTTAGAAAAACTACTAGAATTAGAAAGACAGGCAAAGAAAGATGAAGAGACAGTTAGAAGACTTCAAGCAAAGTAAGGATATATTTACCTGTATTCTAATACATGACACTCTTCTTTCACTTTTTAAACAAAGCCATCTTATTAGAACAAAACATTGGGTACACATGCTTGACCTCACAATTGAATATGCAACTTCAGTTGTATTTTGAACAATCCTGGAGGTAAAAGGTAACATTTCTGCAGAAATTGCTTGCTATGAAATTCAATAAGATCTTTTAAAAAGTAGGCCTATATGTATCTGCACAATTTAAATTCTGAAATCACTACACTAACACCATAAGGTGAGGAAGATACCAAGGGGACATTCAAAATTCATGTAAAGAGAATCTGACAACCCCAAGTCAAAAAGAAATACAAAAGTCCACAAAACAATACCATACATAGTCAAACTATAGAGAATAAGCAACACAAAACCCACCAAAAACTGGGGGTGATCTCAAAACCCACCAAAAATTGGGGGTGATCTCAAAACCCACCAAAAAACTGGGGGTGATCTGAAACCCCACAAAAAACTGGGGGTGATGATAAACTCAGGTGCTATGGATGAATGCAAATGAACATTCAGATTCCAAACATATAAACAATAAAAGTGATATTTAACAACTGTTTATTAGAAGAAACCCTAGTCTGGTGTACAAAATGATTAAACTGGCAACTTTGAGTTTGATGAAAAGATATTATAAAACTGTTGATTACATTTAGTTTCAAGCAGATTTCTGATAGGAGGAATAAATAAACATTGACAATTTGAACACAACTTTATAAAAAGTAAATCTACTCCCAAATATGTGATAATATATTTTTATTAGTCTTTTCTATACACTGAACATGTAATCTCTTTAAAAACTGTAGATTACTTGACGAGGAAAGTGAAAAAAGACAAGAATTAGAAAAATTGAAAAGAGAACAAGAAGAGATACTTAAACATGAGCGGGAGATGAGGGAAGGGCTAGAAGATCAAAAGGAAGAAAAAGATCAAATTCTACTAGAAGCTCAAGCGAAACTGTCAGAATTAGAAAACGAGAGGGTTGAAGCTTCTGAGAAATTAGAGGTATGGTTCTGTATAATGAGTTATAAAAAGCCAGGTTCAACACCATTGGTTTATTTTCAAACAATTATATTGTAACAAATAGGAAGCTTTTATTAGATTATAAAAATCTACCAAAAAATTTCATAAGCAACTTAAAATGTCATTCCATTTGTCTTTATGATATATTTATTAAGATGCCATGACAGTTGCAAGATAATACTGTATTTCTGGATTATAAGTCAATATTTTTTCCAAAAAGCTGTCAGCCTCATCAACCTATGTAAGACTTGTTTCTTAAAGTTGAATTCCAAGTTACATGTATATGGATACATAATAAGTGCAAATGAAATTCCAGTTAACTATTAAGTTCTAAATCAAAACAAAATTATTTTTAACAGACAACTTCTCCAGACTTAATTCTAAGAAAATTAAATGCCTTGAGAACCTTAAAAATGGTAGGTTCTCTCCAAAAGAGTTTCTAGAAATGACCGTTCGTAGAGAAAAAGCAGTGTATGCCTTGCCTCCAATAGATGATAATTTTCTTCGAAAAATTATGGATCTAACATTGTTGTAAATATTTGAAAAAAATAAGGGGTGAATTGAAAATAAATAACTGATGAACAGGTAACACCTAGTTGAACCTGTCATGCTGCTCATAACATAAAATATCTATTAGTCAATTGTATTTGGTGATAATAGCCAAGACAAAAGAGTCATGATGTCAAAACAAAAATTTTAAAAAATCATACCAACTTACCCTATTTTTCTGTAAGCGGTAATCCTGAAAACATTTCTTTTTGGCCTTTATGCAAACAACCCAACCTCTACTATTGTTCTTCAATTGGTAATCCTAAACAAATATTTTTTGTTTGGCCTTTATGCAAATAACCTTACTATTGTTCTTCAATTGGTAACCCTAAACACATATTTTTTGTTTGGCCTTATGCACTTTCATACAACTTATATATATTTTTTTTACAGAAAGCAACTGAAAGACTACAGGAAGCTGAAAATGAACGATTGAAAATGGAAGAAAAGGTCAAGTTATGGAAGAAACCCAATGTTGGGCTAGCAAGACCAATCCAGCCAACCAACAGACCATTAATAACACATCGTGGACTTGGTGCCTTCTGTGCCACTGACTTTCTTAGAAAATCACGTCAACAAGACAAACAGCGTGGTATGACAAAAAAGCAGTTAGATGAAAAATATGGAGAACACGTATTGGACATGTCAGATGAAGAGGAAAATGGTAAACATGAAAACAAATCTCCCGTATCTAAGACGTTTAATGAAGAAATAAATACACAAAACTTGGACAACGTAATTGAAAATTCAGATGTTAAAATCAGTACTACGGAGGAAGGTTTATCTCACCTTGTAAATCAACCACAAATTATAATTCAAACTGTAACTGATCAAGATCAACAAGCACCGGATAAAATAAGTGACAAATCAAATGAAAAAGAAGAAAACAAAGAAGAAATTAAAAAAGATGAACAATCTAAAGATTTGGAAGAAGAGGACCAGTGTACACAAAGTATTGACTGTAAGGAAGGTGAACTGGACATTGAAACAGAAAAATCTTCCATTAGTAAGGAAATGACACTGGAAAAAGATGAAAATAAAGCTGAAAATATCAATGAGGATGATGTACAAAAACTTCGATTTCTAGTTGATAATAGTTTATTGAGTGAAAATCATCAAAACAAAGATTCTGAACATATCCAAGCGATGACAAGGGGGCATTTGGGTGAGGAAAATCAGACTTATGTGCAAGGAGATGGGACATTGAAAGATGATGAGTCGGCAGATTTGTTTGAGAGTGCAAAGGACATTTCATCGACTAATAGCGAAGAAAAAGTTGAAAATCATTCATTGTCTGATGATCAAAAAGGAGAATCTTTTGAGCAGAAAGAGACAGATTGTGAAGTTCAAGTTCGAGGTTCATATGAAAATGTAACTTTTAATTCCCAAAGTATTAAATCAGATGAAAAGACTGAAGGGGAAAGTGAGTGTTCAAATACTAAAAATGAAAATGACAGAAATGAAACTGAAGACTCAAGTATAAAGAATAACAATGATGAAGAATCTTATTATGATCAACCAGAAGATGAAACAAATGACAAAGATATGTCTGCTTTTAGTAACCTGACTTACCAAAATATAAATATGAACGCCAATGACCAGAAATCTGATGAGAGAAACAAAGAAGATGAAGACCCTAATGTGTATGACTATGTAGAATTGAAAAATGAACATTTTGAACAAAAGTAATATATTGTCATATTTCATGCTTATATTATGCTATGAGAATTTATCTCAATTATTTTTGTGTACAAGTCACTGATAAAAATAAAACTACGTAAATGTCAATGAAGGTATTACATCACAAAACTTAATAATGGTGCAAAATCAAATAACTTCAGTACATAAAATCTTTCTAGAGTTTAGAGGTTAAAATCTGACTTGAAATTAGATTTCGAGGTGAAAACAAAGAGATTTAATCTATTGCCAAGCCTTAAATGAAAGTAAGATCTAAATTATTTATGTATTATTTTCACTAAAGATTTTCCCCTCTAAAACTGATAGCTGATATCATAATGGTACACAATGTATATCAATTTAGTCTTTAATTTCATAGATGAAACAAAGTTGTAAATGTAAAATCCAACAAAATCAGTGCCTGACTACAACATTTCTGGTTACATATTCATATGGCCAAGAAAACTTAATTTTGATAAAGGTTAAGGCAATTTCTAAGGTCATATTGTTTTGCAATTCTTATAAAGTATAGTACAAAACATAGTCAATGATTTTTTATATTGGTTTTTAAGAAGTACATAGTGTCTTCCATACAAAATTATTCTCCTCAGATCAATGAGATCTCAATTATCAGTATTATTTTGTGTGCTTCAGTGGTTCATATGTTTTCAAGGTCAAAAGTAAGTAATCAGCATTTCACCAAATTTTTGATTTATGAATGCAGTGATACATAAAAGATGTTGACATTTGACCTATTGACTTTTCTTTTTTGCTCTGTGGCATCAGACATTTTCTCTTGTGATGTCAAAACTTCATGGGAACATCTGTTATATAAAATAAGTATATGTGGTATAACTGCCAATGAGACAACTATCAAACTGAGACCATATGATGGGGTTGATGATAATCTGTTATTTCAAGTCATGATAAACAAATAGAAATTAGGTGTGTGATAATTCTTGCCAAGTTGATATAAGAAAACACTAAAATATAGAACAATAAACTGCTTCGCCGAGCATACCTGGATACAACCGCAGAGGTCCAACACTGAACAGTTGGGGCAAAAATGGACACAATATTCAAGCTTGATACAGGTCTGAATTTTGATTGTACTTAAATATTTGACACATTATAGGTTTCTGACACAGAATAAATGTAGTCAAAGAACTTGAATTTGGTTTTATGATTTGAATTTATATTCAATTGAAGATTTCTTGCTTTTGTGCAATTCACTGTACTGTTGTGCTGTACTTAGTAAATCTGTTTTCAGACTATATACAAAGAATTAGCAAAATAAATTGTGACCCCAAATTTTTCTTTGGAAAATTGACAATTTTTTAAATCTTGAGGAAAAAAAATTGACCTCCCTCCCCCCCCATTTTCCAAAAAAATAACATTTGAAGAAATTTTCTTTTTGTAAAATGTGGTACAATTTAAGAGACATCAATAAACTTAAACACAAGTCATTGTCTGAAAACTAGAAAAATGCTTGTTTTAGACCCTTTTTGGCCCCTAATTCCTGAACGGTTTGGGCAATTACCCTAAAAATGAATCACAACCTTCTACTTGTGGTATTGAACCTTGTGGTACAATTTCAGAGCAACCAAAATACTTATACAAAATTTATTGTCCTGAAACTAGAAAAATGTTTTTTTGGGCCCCTTTTTGGCCCCCAATTCCTAAACGGTTGGGACCATCACCCCCAAAAACAATCCCAACCTTCCTTTTGTGGTAATGAACCTTTTGGTTAAATTTCATAGAGATCCATACACTTAAACTAAAGTTATTGTCTGGAAACCAAATGTCTTCGGACGACGTTGACATGATAGCAATATACGACCCCAAAATTTTTTGCGGTTGTATAAAAATGAAAGATGACCTGCTGTATTTCAAATTATTTGTATGTATGACATTGTGTTTGATATTGTGTATGGTTGTGAGTTGAACTAAAATCAAACAATATATATAAATATCTTTTACTCTTCTAATCATTTTCGTTTTTTCTTTATTTGATGGAAATCTACATCTCAGTTTTTACTTTAGATAGATGTACAGATTATCCATTATTTATTTTCTAGATATATATATCTAATAAAGTTCTTATTTAAGATAAGCAAACAGCATTATATAAATTGTCATTTCTTAATTAGCATCTTTTATTTTATGTATGTTTTAATTTCTTTAGGCATGCCGCATAAGGATACTTTCTAATTCGATTGTGATTTTTTTCATTTTCAGAGATGTTGTAGATCAAGATAACATCTTTGAAAAATCATAATACAAGACATAGGCCACAGCACTTGTCTTCAAGAAAACTGAGGCTAAAAATTTGAAGTTTTTGTAGATTTGGTTAAATTTTTTAAACATCTTTAAGATTTTCTAAACCTGATATTTTAGCAAGTAAATAACCTATTTTTTTTTTTAAAGCTATGACGAATGTAAATTAGCAAAAAAATAAATAACCTGTCAGCTCTATTGTTTCACATCAAAACATGATTGAATTTACATATTCCATGAAAAAAACTAAATTGGCTACCTTTATTCAGTAGTTTTACAAATTTCTTGAATTGTCATTTTTCTTACATTTTTATATGAGAGGGCTTTCATTATGATTTTTTTAAATCAGAAAAAACACAAAAGTTGAACCAGAAAGTGTATTCCCCAATTATTAACTTTCAAGATTTAAAGTCCTGACATAAGATTCTGTTATAATAATGAGGTCATCATAAAAAAAATAGTAACAATTATCTCCCCTGAAACCGTATTGACTCCCCTTAATCTTAATTCTGTAATTTTTTTTCTAACACAAGGGAATATATTGGAGACTTATCAAAAACAAGGTTCCTTACCTCATGAAGTGTTATGTATTATACAATAAACTGAATGCTATCATTAAACATATGGAATACAAAAATCTTCTTTATCTTTTAAAAACACAACATAAATGAGTTTTTAAGATATTTCATTCAAATTAATCAAGACAATTATGCTATTATTAAATGAGGGGAAAAAAATCTGCAATTAACTAAAATAGTGATGTTTGTGGGTTTGAATGATAAATCACAGATTTCAATGCAAATAGTGATACTGAGTATTCAGTAAATAAATGTTCTTCACATAGGAACATATTACAGTTATGACAGGTTAATAGGTCAGAATTGTATGTGTGTATTAAAAAGAGTAACAATTGACTTTAAAAAAAATTTGATAAGCAAAATATGTACATGTAAATTAAAAGGATTGTCATGCAAAAAGTAATTTTCTAATTTTAAATTTCATGTTATATATATAATTGTATTTGTACAAAGAGTGCTTTATTTATTTCCATCATTAATAAATGATATGAATCAACTGCTGTTTTTTTCACAATTTCAATAGATAGCAATTACAACAGTTACCTTTAATAAAAATATCAAAACACTTTTGTTGGGACAAAAATGAAGAATGAATCAAAATATCCTAAATGAAATATGGGTCATTAAAATTTAATTATTGCTTATTATGTAAAACTGATACGTGTATTTCAAATAAACTGATTAAATTACAAGAAATCCAAATGGGTACCATTTTATATATATCATATGTAAGATTTGATTTGATTAATTGGTGTTTAACACCACTTTCAGCACTAATGGCTATTTCATAGCAGTCCATTTTTGTTGGTAGAGCAAGGCAGAGTGCAAGGAAGGAACCATCTAATTGTCGGCAGGAAAACACAATCCTAGTCAGTTGATAAGATAGGATTGAACCCACCTGCCACATGCTGGGTCAATTGATAAGATAGGATTGAACCCACCTACCACATGCTGGCCTATGGGTTCCACAACCACTATCTATTTAAACTATAGACCAAATTATATACACAATAGGAATATATGAAAAACTCACCAAAGTTCCTTAGATCCCTGGCTTATAATTGTATTAAGTACCGCATATACATACCGTATATCGTTTTTTTTTTGCATCTGCTTTTTTTCACGATTTCATGACAAAATGGGCAGGGTAAATTTTCACTGTATAATTTTCGCTGAATGGGAAAATACACGCGAAAATATAACTGTATCGCATTGTTAAAGATGCAAGTAACACAAAATTGATTGACTGACAGGTAATCATCACAAATATATACGAGTAAACCAAACGAAAGTACACAATTTAGAGAAATTTTAAGGAACGTAAATTATTCACATTGAGACATGCTAAAAATTTAAGGTTTCGATGAATACAGATATACAAATATCCGTGTAAATGTGATTAATTTTATTATATTTTTACATTAAATGCCAATTGTTTGGGATATGACATATATCAATACAATAGCTCGTCAATTATTAGCATCTGATTGCTGTGTTGTCATAAGGTTTGAAACGTATGTTAAGCCAATTTAATTATTATGAAAACAAAGATTTTAATTAAGTATGCTCATTCTTATGATCTGTTGAACAACACAAAAGACTCCATAATTAACATTATAACGTGTAAAACTTTCAAATTTTAATAATATTGGTATAAGCAAGGAAATTTACGCAGGGTAAAATTTTCGCGTTTCTTTAGCTAGCTAAAAAATTGAAAATTGAACACAAGCGAAAAAAAACCCGATATACGATATTTGGTCGACCTAAGACTTATCAGTGGTACTTAAAATAAAAGGCCAAAAAGACTTTAATTTTCATATATATTATCTAAGAGAACAGAAAAAACACAAACATAATTAGTAGGTAATCATTGTAACTTTCAAAGATAAATAAAACTCACATTTTTTTCAATATAATGTGGTATGATTGCCAATATAAAAATAAAGAACTGGAAAATTCCCCTTTTTTAATGAATAAAACCTCATAACTCAGAAACCTAAAATCTAAAATTATTAAAAATCGAAAGGGAGCTCACGTCAATAGATATAAACAATTCACCAAAGTTTCATGAAAAATGCTCAAAGCGTTTCTGAGTTATTGTCCAACATGTTGACAATGGACGGACAGACGGACAATGGTATACCATAATACGTCCTATAAATAGGTGTATAATAAGAAGATGTTGTATAATTACCAATGAGACAACTTTCCATCAGAGACCAAATGACATAGAAGCATGTTTGTATGGGCTGTATTCTAGAACATGATGACATGGATAACATTATATGCCATAGTTGCACACACCATTAAGTGGTAGAGAATCGTATAAGGTTAATATTACTGAAAAGCTATCTAAACTAAAGTAAATGTATGATTTTAGTGGTTGTCATTGGCTACTGTCATATTTGTTTTTTGTTTTATGCATAAATCTTTGGTTTTCTCGATTGAATTGTTTTATATTTGCCTTTTCGTGGTCTTTAATAGCTTATTATGCAGTCGATTTTTGCTCATCAATCAAAGCTGTATGCTGACCTATAGTTACACTGATAATTACTTTATTACAAAGTTGTAATTTTTCCAGAGAAAACTGCCTACTTTGTCTTATCCAAACAAAGTTGTGAGTCTAGACTGTGTTCTAGTTTAGAAGGTTTTATTGTAAAAAGATTGTCAGGAGAAAACAGATCTAGAATTAAACCAATTTTAACTTCACAATTATAATGTTTATTTTCATTACATTATACTTGTATTTTGTATAAAACTAAAAATAAATAACAATCAATAAATACTGCAGATTCAATACTTTCAGTTGGAGCAAATTTTGAGGAAAAATTGTAATTTCTTTAATACTTCATTTTGTGGTTTTCTTCAAGCATATAGGAAATTTGTATTATGGTGAATAATTAAATAATGAATCGGCAGTATATTACAAGTATAATAAAGATACATTCAATAAAAACTTGTGTGTGAATACTTGTTGTTTGTTTAAAAATACTAAAGGTTTTTTCAAAGTATCTATATATACAATGAATTACAAATATTTCATTAACATGATTTATATACCTATGATAGAAAGCTCTGCTACATTTAAAATCTTGATTTCCATACAATTTTATGTTTTGATGATTTTAAAAATATTTTTTATTTCAGAAAATATCTTTAATTGTCAAACATTGTGATGTCAATACTTCAGATAGTTTCCAACATTAGTAAATCTTTTCACTGTAATAGAGATGTCATATTTCATCAGGATGATATTGTACTGTGATGCATCTTATGACTATAGAGTTATGCCCCTTTATCATATCCATTCAATGTACACAGAGACTTAGCTTGTATCTACAATTCTTCTTATAATTTATCGTAAGGCATGGCTAAACTAATGTTATAATGTGAGGCTTCTGGTTCATCATATGTTGACAGACAGATGTCAGGTACTCCTTGTGTCGTCTGGTCCACAGAGAAATCATAAATTTGAATAGAACCCCTGTATCTGTAATTAGAAGATCATTGTTTTATCTTTTGTCTAGTAAATTTTAATGATGCTAAAGTACATCGCTTCCATGTTCTTCAAATGTTGGAAATAATCTTAAATATATGTTAAATCCTTTCACTTGAAGGTTGCTTTAAAATTAAGCAATTTAAAAGGTTAATGGTCATATGCAATTTTTTTTGGACATGCATGCTTGCATATGCTTTTTGGGCACATAAGACAAAATAAAAATAAATTGCTTCGCTGAGTGCAGCTGGATAGACCGCAGATGTCCAACCCTGAAAAATGGGGCCAAAATGGACACAATATTCACGCTTGATATAGGTCTGAATTTGGATTGTAATTAAATTTTTGACACATAATAGGTTTCTGACACTGAATAACTGTAGTCAAAGAACTTCAAATTGGTTATATGATTTGAATTTATATTCAATTTTTTGCTTTTGTGCAATACACTATGCGAATTGACCCCCCCTCCCTAAAAAAAAATTTTTTTTATCCCGTTTTTTATGCGTTTGTGCAATACACTATGCTGTTGAATATTAACCCCCAAAAAAAAATATTTGAAGAAATTTTCTCTTAATATCTGAAATCTGAAATGAGAAAAATTGTCCCCCTCCAATTTTTTTCACCTCCCCCCTTTCCCTTATTCAAAAAAATAATTCTTTCCCTCAAGTTATGGTCAGTATCTCAGACAATCATCATTTCTTAATACATAATTTACAAGCAGTGTAAGGGAGGTAATCAAACATTGTTATTTAAATTGATTTGGATTTTGATTTGGATAACCTCCCTTACACTGCTTTTAAATTGTCTCAATTTTCCTTTAACCAGAAAAACCCTTGTTTGTCCCCTTTTTTTGCCCCTAATTCCTAAATGGTTTGAGCCATAACCCCCCTAAGTCAATCCTAATCATCCCTTTGTAGAATGGAAACTTGTGGTATAATTTCAGAGAGATTCATACACTTTAACACAAGTTATTGTCTGGAAACTACAAAAATGCTTATTTGGGCCCCTAATTCCTAAACAGTTGAGACCATAACCCCCAAAATCAATCCCAACCTTCGTTTAGTGGTTATAAACCTTGTGTTAAAATTTTATTGATTTCTATTTACTTATACTAAAGTTATTATCCGGAAACCATCTGTCTTCAGACGACGCTGACAACGACGACAATGTGATACCAATATACGACCAAAAATTTTTTAATTTTTGCGGTCGTATAAAGAACAATTTAAAGAGGACAAAGCAATGCTCTGATTTTACACACCATTATTATTTTTTCCATATTATTTGACCCCCTAAAAGTGGAAAAGTGGAAAACAAAACTATAATCCACTTGCTATAAATGTCAGAAATGAAATATATCTAAAACATGACCAAAATTTACAGTGTTCCAGCTAGCATGAAATGGAGGGGCGCCGCGCCCCGCCCCCGAAATTTTGCGCCCCTCTGCCTTTTTTAAGCGCCCCTGCGCCCCTCTGTGCCCTTTTGAAAAAAGTTTAAAAAAACGATCTTTTTTCCTCATATCGTCGCCATTTTGTTGAGTTCTTTATACACACACTTCATTAAGACAACAGATCAAAATTGTTGACACTTGTTACCTGTATATAATCACCTATTTGATTAGAGTCAATTACTTAATCAGGTGAAATTTACGACCCTGTCTAATCCCTTTGCCCGGAAGTACCAAACATCCAAGTTAAATGAATTGTTTTTTAACACCTGACGATGCAAAATAGAATTTATAAAATAAATGTGAACGATGTCCATTTCTATTGTATTTGTTATTTATAAAATAACATTCGTTAAAAAAGAATCATTCCAATAGTATATTGTAAATCGTCAACACGCAAAATGCCGACGAAAAAAAGAAAAGTTGACCAACTCGAAAATGACAAGAAGAAAATATCAAAAACTTGCCAGTCTATTACATCTTTTTTCAAGAATAATGACCATCAAAGGTAAAAAAATAATTTAATTCTTTACTTTTATGAAAAATCGAGAAGAAGAAACGTTTCTATCAGATATCGCAATTGTTCTTCTATTGTAAATTCCGCCGATTACGGAGCACTCGAAAGTCCGATTTTTATATCATTTTTCTTTAATTGAAATCCGTTTTGACTAACTTTAATATTGATATTATTAGATACGCTCAACATGAAATATACGGAGATGCTTGTTGAATTGATAATAAACTTTCAAAGTTGAATTAATTTATTATTGTGCCGATTACGGAGCTCTCGAAAGTCCGATTTTTGTATCAATTTTCTTATTGAAATCCGTTTTGACAAACTTATTGATATTATTAGATACGCTCAACATGAAATATACGGAGATGCTTGTTAAATTGATAATAAACTTTCAAAGTTGAATTAACAAACTTATTTGTTGAATTAATCTATTTCTCAAGATCGAAATAAAGACAATTGTCTCATTGACACTCTTATTTAAATTCACAACCAAACCTACACAATTTTCAATGTATGTAATAGTATAGAGTATTTAACTTAGCTACATGCTTGCTAAAAATATTTCATTATGTGGTAATATTAAGTATTTGATTTTTTTCAGTGAGAACGCGCTAAAGTGCCCTTTTTTAAAAACGCGCCCCTCTATTTTCAAATCCTAGCTGGAACACTGATTTATATATCCTTCCTATAAATTTTCACAACTTAACTGCTTCATTTAAACTCTGCTAACATGTCTTATTTGCTTTCTGACAGTTGTTTAGGTTTTTCTGGTTATAATAGTTACCGGCAAACACAAACTCATCAGCTTTCTCTACAGTTTGTCTAATGTAAGGTATTGAATTTTATTTCAATATTTTTTTAAAGTGAGGCTAATAACACAATTTACAAGTAACCATACATTTTCCCTACCTTCTGTGTGTAACACTTTCAAATTCATCAACAAACGGCATCTTACTGGTTGGCACATTCCCTAATATCAATCTGTCTTTTGTAAAATGACAATGCTTTACTGGATGTCTAAAAGAATTAATAGGTATACAGTTTAAATATAAACTTAAATACTTGCTATAGGAAAATGCAATGATTTAAACACTCTACAATCAATTAAATATAGAATAACTATATCACAAATAATACATGATGGTCTTGAAGTATAGATTCTAGGTACCAACGTTGTTTATCCTCCTAATTACGTGTTATAGTGTTCTTTTTATTTTTAACCTTTACTGTTTAGTCCTTTTTTGCTAATATACTTTTGGCGTGGCTCAGTATTTATACATCCCGACATTGTATTTTTGTGCTATAGTATTTTTTTGTATTCTTGTCTTTCATTTTTGCTTATGTACTTTGTCTATAGAGAGTCTATATGCCTTTTTTTATTTTTCGGGTTGAAATAGTTATTTGTTTTTATAGTGATTAAAATTATAACACAATGTTGACTGCTGTACCCCAATTTTGACAATTTTACCTATTATGTCTGTTTGTTTTGCTCACACATTGTTGTCAAATATAATGAAATTCTATGCGACTGTCATACAAGTGAGAGGTTAAGCTAGCTATAATACCAGGTTTAATCCAGCATTTTCTACATGAGGAAATGCCTGTATTAAGTCAGGAATATGTCAGTTGTTTTCCATTCCTTTGGTGTATTTCGGCTTTTAATTTTGCCATTTTATAAAGGACTTTCCGTTTTGAATTTTCCTTGAAGTTTGGTATTTTTGCTATTTTACTTTATACTTTGTTTCAAAATATAAAATTTATTTTTACAATGCTTACAAACAGATTGAATGTAAGACGTTGCAGAGTATTTCTAACCTGTTTGAGCTCAGTACAAAGTTTAATTTTGGACCCCAATTTGGACCAACTTGAAAACTGGGCCCATAATCAAAAATCTAAATACATGTTTAGATTCAGCATATCAAAGAACCCCATATATTCAATTTTTGTTGAAATCAAACAATGTTTAAATACTGGACCCTATCTTGGACCAACTTGAAAACTGGGCCCATAATCAAAAATCTAAACACATGTTTAGATTCAGCATATCAAAGAACCCCAAGAATTCAATTTTTGTTAAAATCAAACTAAGTTTAATTTTGGACCCTTTGGACCTTAATGTAGACCAATTTAAAAAACAGGACCCAAAATTAAAAATCTAAATACACGGTTAGATTTGGAATATCAAAGAGCCCCAATAATTCAATTTTAGATGAAATCAAACAAAGTTTAATTTTGGACCCTTTTGACCTCAATATGAACCAATTTGATAACGGGGTCCACAAATAAAAAATCTAAATACATGGTTAGATTCAGCATATCAAAGAACCCCATATATTCAATTTTTGTTGAAATCAAACAAAGTTTAATTTTGAACCCCAATTTGGACCAACTTGAAAACTGGGCCAAAAATCAAAAATCTAAATACATGTTTAGATTCAGCATATCAAAGAACCTCATATATTCAATTTTTGCTAAAATCAAACAAAGTTTAATTTTGGACCCTTTGGACCTTAATGTATACTATTTTGAAAACTGGACCCACAATTAAAAATCTAAATACACTGTTAGATTCAGCATAACAAATAAATAAATGTGATCAAAGATTTTACAAATCTAATGTGCCATACTGTGCAATTAAAGATTACTTCTTGAAATTTTTCAATATTTGAAATTTGAAAAAAAAATAATATTTGAAGAATAATTCTTTTTAATTTCTGAAATCTGAAATGAGAAAAAATTGACCCCCCACAATTTCTTTTTATCCCCCTCTTTTTTCCCCAAAAAAATTCTTTCCCTCAAGATATGGTCATAATCTCAATTCAAATTTCCAATGGAGTTGGCAACCATAATTACCCATTTAATTTTACCATAGTGCTAACTTAATCTATTTTATAATAGAATTAAAAGTATAGTGTCAAATCTTTCATATAGATTTTTTTGTAAAATAAAATGATGCAACATTTGCAGATATTTTTACTGGTCTTCCTTTATAAATATGCATTTCTTTAAACATAATTTAAAAGCAGTGTAAGGGAAGTAACCAAAATGTTGTATTTGGATTACCTCCCTTACACTGTTTTAAATTATCTTTATTGTTCATTAACCATTACTTTATACATAATTTAAAAGCAGTGTAAGGGAGATAATTTCAATAATGTATTTGATTTATCTCCCTTACACAGCTTTAAATTATGTTTTGTACTAAAAGTATTTGTCCATTAACCAGGACAACCTTGTTTTTCCCCCTTTTTTGCCCCTAATTCCTAAACGGTTTGAGCCATAACCCCCCAAAGCAAATCCTAACCATCCCTTTGTGGTATGGAAACTTGTAGTATAATTTCAGAGAGATCCATACACTGTTCCGCAGTTATTGTCTGGAAACTAGAAAATGCTTATTTTTGGCCCCTTTTTGGCCCCTAATTCCTTAACTGTTGGTACCATAACCCCCAAAATCAATCCCAACCTTCCTTTTGTAGTATTTAACCCTATGGTAAAATTTCAAAAAGATCCATTCACTTAAACTAAAGTTAGAGTGCGAAAACCAATGTGTCTTCGGACGACGACGCAGGACGACGACGACAACGACGACGACAACGACGACGACGCCAACGTCATACCAATATACGACCACAAAAATTTTTTTTTGCGGTCGTATAAAAATGTTTCATATGGATATTTTGGTTAAAAATCAATAAATATGAATTTGAAGCTGATGAGATAAACTTCAGAGAACCTGCATTCTTTCATGAATCATGGATAAAAAAATAAGGCTTCATACTGCCAGTGACTGTAAAAATCGGAGTTTCATATGTTTAATTCATTTTGACTGCGCTAAATGCACAGATGTTATATGAAATAAGATATATTGTTGCTATAGATGCCTCATCCTCTAAGGTGCAGATTGAAAATTAGAAATTAGCAAAAAGTATCTTGTGTTAACATGCCAAAAGGAAAAACAACCATTTTCAAGACATTTTGGCCACTTACTTACCATCTATTGTAAATTCTGAATTTTTTTGTGATGTTTTAATCATTGCAAAATTTGCCATAGGATACATTTGGTAAAACTTAAAAAACTTACTTTTCAAATTTTGAAAGCATTATTTGTATATGGCGTTTCCTGAAATCTCAATAATCAATCTACCAATTGTGTCCCTTGTCCAACATAAGCAATAATAAATACATGTACATGCAAAAAATTCTGAATTTACAGTACAATGTATACTTTTTGTGCAAGATGTGTGATCTATCATGTACTTTTGAAAGATAACAAAGAAACTAAAGGAAGACAATGGTCTAATATCTTATAAATGGTTTTTAGTAATATGTATTTCAACTAGAATGAATAATCAGCAAATTAAGTAGGTCACTTGGTTGTTCAGTTGTCTAGGTAGTTTTTCAACTTCTAGCTGTACAGAATCATTCAACCAATAAGTCTGACCACCGTGAAGTTCTAAGTATACACTGCACATAGCATGTATCCTCTTTCAAACAAACAAAAAATCGGCAGCTGCCCATGGCATCAGTTGAAAGTGATATATAGGGGTTTTAAAAAATTTTCAATAAAAAAATAATATTGATATCAAAAGTTTTCAGCTTAACGAAAGATTAAATCTAATTAAAAGATTTGATGATAACATACAATATGCACAGATAGATTTGCTTTTTCTGCTAGCTCTTTATTGTCAACAAAAATCTATGTCCATCCTAAGGGAAACAATTTGTACAAATGGATCTCTAATTACAAGGTTAATTACAGAATTTAGCAAAGGACTATTATCCTGGTGATAATAATAATCCCATCCTACATGGTTTTTTTCCTATATCACTGTTTTTGAAAGTGTAAATTTCTATTTCATTTAAGATCATTAGCTAATAAAATGCTCCGCTGGGGCGCAGCTTGATACGACCGCAGAGGTCGAACCCTGAACAGTTGGGGCAAGTATGGACACAACATTCAAGCTTGATACAGCACTGAATTTGGATTGTAATTAAATATTTGACACAGCATAGGTTTCTGACACAGAATAAATGTGGTCTAAGAACTTAAAAATTTTTAATTTATCTATTCAAACCATATCATTATTATTTGCTTTTATATATAAATCAGAAATAACCAATTTAAAATGGAAAATTTTAAAGAAAAAAAGGAAAAAAAAATCCCCCCAAAAATTTTTTGAACCCCCTTATGATTCATCACCCCCAAACTCAATCCCAGCCTTCCCTTTGTGGTATGGTACCTTGCAGTACACATACATATGATGGACTGTGAAACTAAGATCAGGAGTTTTGGAGATTAGGACTCAGATCAGGATGTTTTTAATCGACATAAATTCTGTCGTAAATGTAACCGTGTGCTGTAGAAATTGTCTGTTAAAGTGTGTTTTCTTCAACTTTCCATTCGAATGTATTATGTTTATAGTACCTTTGTATTTATAAATTTTCTCTATCTTTTTAAACTTTCAACTTGTTCAATCTAACATTCTTCTTTTTCAGTATGTTCTTTAAATTTTTTAGGTCATATCTTTCTTCCCATTATTCATTGCAATCAGAACATTTGCTTATCTATTTGCAAGTAGATCTTTTATTTTTATCTTTATGCAAGTAGATTTTTATTTTTATTTTTGATGCATATTAGTATCACATTCAAACTGTGATCAGTGGTCATAGTTATTATATAAATTTCAATTTAAGCCTTGAAAGGAAGTATAGAACCCTCAAATAATTTTCAAATTATTATTTTTTTATTTGTCCTAAAACATTTAAAATCATTTAATTACCATCCTTTTATGATTATTTGTTCAATTTATATTTTATTTATATTCTTTTAAAAATTAACATTATTTAAAGGAAAATAACTTAAAACAGGATAAATCAAGGGAAGTAACCCAACATTCATTTAAAATAAACAAAGTTTTATTTCACAACGGCAGTTAGCCTGAGGTAAAAATCGTTTATTACCAGTATGTTTGACACCCAAGGTGACAAGTGAGGCCATATAATTATGCATTTAAATTGATTTACAGGTAAAATATAACTTCAGTAATGTCAGTTACACCAGATATGTTGGGCTGAAATTTTTCATTCATGAAATATTTCATACACGGGATTTTTTTGTCTTCAACTGGAGGTTGGGAGGAGACCCCTGAAAACGGATTATTGTACTCCCGTCGGGAGATTCACATGTATGAACTGTACAATTTCAGAGAGATCCATACACTTGAACACAAGTTATTGTCTGGAAAAAAGAAAAATGCTTGTTTTTTGGCCCCAAATTCCTAAACATTTAGGGCAATTACCCCCAAACTAAAACCCAGCTTTCCCTTTGTGATATGGAACCTTGCAGTACAATTTCATAAAAATCCATACACTTACACACAAGTTATTGTCCTGAAACTATAAAAATGCTTGTTTTTTTGCCCCTTTATGGCCCCTAATTCCTCAAATTTCTAGGGAATTATCCCCAAAATTAATCCCAGCCTTCCCTTTGCGGTTTGGTACCTTGCAGTAAAATTTCAGAGAGATCCATACACTTGAACACAAGTTATTGTCTGGAAACTAGAAAAATGCTTATTTTTTGCCCCTTTTTGGCCTCTTATTCCTAAACGTTGTGGGCAATTACCCCCAAAATGACTTCCAGTTTTCCCTTTGTGATATGGAACCTTGTAGTACAATTTCATAAAGATCCATACAATTACACACAAGTTACTGTAATGAAACTAGAAAAATGCTTGTTTTTTGCCCCTTTTGGCCCCTAATTCCTAAAATTTGGAGGCAATTACCCCCAAAATCAATCCCAGCATTCCCTTTGTGATATGGAACCTTATGGTACAATGTCAGAGAGATCTATACGTTTACACACAAGTTATTGTCATGAAACTAGAAAAATGCTTGTTTTTTTCCCCTTTTTGGCCCCTAATTCCTAAAATTTGGAGGCAATTACCCCCAAACTCAATCCCAGCATTCCCTTTGTGATATGGAACATTGTGGTACAATGTCAGAGAGATCCATACACTAACACACAAGTTATGTCTGGAAGTTACAAAAATGCTTATTTTTGGCCCCTTTTTGGCCCCTAATTCCTTAACTGTTGGTACCATAACCCCCAAAATCAATCCCCACCTTCCTTTTGTGGTATTGAACCTTATGGTAAAATTTTATAGAGATCCATTCACTTAAACTAAAGTTAGAGTGCGAAAACCAATGTGTATTCGGACGACGACGACGACGACGACGACGACGACGACGACGCCAACGTCATGCCAATATACGACCACAAAATTTTTTTGCGGTCGTATAAAAAAGTTGATGAAAATTTTCATAATCACAGCTTTTTTACCTGTTATGTATTTCCCAGAGTTTCTTTGTCATCCTTAGATCCCACACTCTAACAAATCCATCATCTCCACCCGATACAATCTTAATATCATCCATCTGTACTGTGTTAACCTGGCTAGAGTGACCAGACAGTAAGTGTGTCATATTCTCTGACCTCAAGTCAAATACCCGTACTCTGAAAACATAGAAATATCTGGCTACAAAAAGCAAGCGATAATGTTTTACATTGCTACCTCAAAATATATTTTTGTATTTCATTATCTTAAATGTTTTTATATTTAACTACAAAAAGGGACATATTTTATTAGCAACTGTTTTGGATGTATATTTTACACCTCTTTTACACATCCAGTTTTTTAAGGTAATATTATTTATAAAGTAACAAACTTAAGAATTGTTATCGAAGTTGATGAAATAATTTTTTGGTGAATTGTGGTTGCAATCAAAAGAAAAGCTAGAATAATTTTGAATCAATACAAATAGTATTTCGCTATTTGTGGGATAACAAATATTTTAAAACATTATTCCAAATTCTAAATGACTTTACACAGTATACAATTAGGAAGTTCTTATCCTTTTTTTTAAATGCATGTGTAGCTAGTTTGATATTATTATTTGCAAAGTTTTTTGTGTATTGAGAAGCTTTATTTTCAACTGGTCATAAAAATAGTAAAATTTTAAAAATACTGTAAATTCAGAAATTCTTGTGTGCATTTATTATTACAATTAACCCAAATGCAAGTTTTATTATTGCTGTTTCGGGAAATGCTTAATACAAAGAATTTTATCAAAGTTTGAAATGCGATTTTTTTTTGTGTGACACCTATCAATTCATGAAAAATTATTACACCAGGGTTTTCGATATCATAAACTAGTCAAAACATTTACTTAATTTTATCATCGGTATAAGGACATCATTCGTAAATATAACTCAACATGCAGACATCTTATACGTTCGGGTATTTCACATCCAATCTTTTATGGTAATATTCTTTACAAAGCACAAAAATGTCAGTATTTACCTCAAAAGCTAACAAAACCTTTAAACAGACTTATTAAGAAGATATATAGTTACGATACTGTTGTCAGGTCATTAAAGATTGCATATTTTGGCTTTAATATTGATTCACTTATAGGGTCTTTGCATCGGAATTAAACATATTTAATCTAAAACCAGTTGTTGGTATGACACGGGTTATGTTCTTCTCATATATTTTATGATGGTATAATACTAAACCCCTAACAGGAGGGATTGTGCCTGATATTCATATGATGAAGACATAATCTTTCAATCAGTTTAATTGAGGTCTGGAGCTGGCATGTCAGTAACTGCTAGTAGTCTGTTGTTATTTATGTATTATTGTCATTTTGTTTATTTTCTTTTGTTTCCTATTCTGACATCGGACTCGGACTTCTCTTAAACTGAGTTTTACTGTGCGTACTGTTGTACGTTGGTTTTTCTACATTGGCTAGAGGTATTGGGGGAGGATTGAGATCTCAAAAAACATGTTTAACCCGCCACATTTTTGCGCCTGTCCCAAGTCAGGATCCTCTGGCCTTTGTTAGTCTTGTATCATTTTTAATTTTAGTTTCTTGTGTATAATTTGGAGTTTAGTATGACGTCCATTATCACTGAACTAGTATACATATTTGTTTAGGGGCCAGCTGAAGGACGCCTCCGGGTGCGGGAGTTTCTCGCTGCATTGAAGACCCATTGGTGGCCTTCGGCTGTTGTCTGCTCTATGGTCGGGTTGTTGTCTCTTTGACACATTCCCCATTTCCATTCTCAATTTTATGATTTTCACAATAATGAAAACATTGTACAAATTTCTAAATTTACAACACTGTCATAATTGCAACAAAATAAAACAATGCAGTACTTTGCAAACTACAAGTGATAATAATATAGGGAAGAGGGTATACTGACCACATTCTACATACCTTCTATCCCCACTACCAGTGGTCAGAAGATTGTCTGGACTGTCTGCTATATTGACACAAGTAACTGTCCAGGTATGGTTGTATAGAGTGGACACTAGTTTACCACTGTTAGCATCATAAACTTTTACCTGAGAGGAAAAAAGTACAATTTTGTTTTTCAATAAATTTACCATTTTTTTATGCATTTTGTAAATCAGTAAAATTTTCAATTAAAAAAAAGGTGGTAATTGATTCATCAAATTCTAATATGAACAGATTTGTCATTTTTAGCTTTTGTTATAATGTAATTTTATCAGTCTGGCTGAAAAATGGTTACTAGAGTTTCACATAACTTGAAAAGGTTATCATAAAAGTAACCAAAAGCAGTTATTAATTTTGCCTTTCAAGGGACATAACTCAAAGAAATCTTGAGAATAATTAAGTATAGTCAGTCATATTCTAAATTCATGGTCAGTAATCATCAGTAAAGCAATACAAAGTTAATTTATTTTAAAGTGTATCTGATCTATAGACACCTGTTTATTAGTTAATAGATCTTTTTAGTTTCTCAGGTTTATCATGCAATTAATTGCTCTTGATAATATGTCTGAAAGATAACTTGAATTTTACATCCCAAGGGGGTTGTTATTTAGAGACTTCATGCATTCTTAACCTACAGTGCCCCTAGAAAACTATTGCTAATTCAAAGAGTAGAAGCGTCAGTCCACCTGTGTCAGAACAACCTTGATATATTGGGGAAAAACTAAGGAAATGAGAAAATTGAAATCAAAGATTGACAACTTCAGAAAATTTATCAAAAATAACTCAAAATAGTTTGATTTTTTTTTACAAAATGGCTCGTACTGAAACCAGATATTTGAAAAAAAAATATCTGTTTTCTGTTGCAACCATGACTGTTTATTGTAATTTTTTCATTTTTCATTTGTTATACAATAACAATGTGTTTAAAAATACAACTTAAAGCCAGTTTTCCTTGTAATGTTGAACATCATCTGCTGGCTATTTATTCCATGATTGGTGATTGCCGACCTTCTTTTTATGACTAGATCTTGTAACACTAACAGAAAATCTATTTCCATATACATGATATAGATGGCAGAATTGGGTGCCTATTTATAAACAATCAATTAACCAATTACATGTTATAATATGTTTACCCTGTATGGATCTAATGCTCCACCATATGATCCTAATCCTACAGCCAGTTGTGATGGTGATGACCTTACATCCATACAGGTCACAGGTGAGCCAATCACATTGTGGATGTTAGTCACATGACTGAAAATATCAGCATTGCTGTCTTCTGTTTTATATAAATTCACATGAAATTTTGTGGCTATCACAAGTTGTGGTTTGCTGTAAGCAGCTGGTTCCTCCAAAATTGTTGATGCAGAAATCTATTAAAATTACACAAAAGATAAATATTCTGTGAAAAGTTCCCTTTTTAGTACATATATTTGTCACTAACTTAAAAAATGTCATTTATTTTGCTTCTTCTTCAAAATTAATTGATTGAAGTAAAAAATTCATGGGAAGTAATCCTGACTTAGAATGCTTGAATTATAAGTGTTAAACTCTGTACAATGAAGATTGATTAATTGGTGTTTAACACCACTTTTCAGCACTTTTCAGCATTATTTAGTGGTGGTCAATTTTAATTTGTAGTGGAAGCTGATCATTCTGCTATACTTTTTTTTTATTACTGAATGCAAAAGTTAGCCACAGACAAAAATCTTCAATGAACTATAGATCATCAATCAATCTGTTTCTTGAATGGATTTGAATTTTAAATGTCTTTCTATAAGAGAAACGAAAGTATACTACTTCTCATCAATCAGAAGTCAACATTTTAACTGGTTGTTTCTGACTCATTTGATCTAGGAATTTGGTCCACATTTATCTGTACAGATCACTGTAGTCTACTTCTGCTAAAGTCTTAGATTTACTCTGACCCTTTCAGAAATAGCATGGGCCAATTTTATGTACACATATGTGAAAAGGTCTATCAGCTTTTCACAGAAAGTCCGTTGTTTTCTTCCTTTATTAATGAAACTGACTGCCATGTGACTTAATACATATACAGAAAGTGATGTTAATTTGAACAAAACTAAAATATAAACTTTAACATTTCCCACACCCTATATCATGCAACATGCATACAACTTACATGATCCATAATATTAATAGCTCTTGTCTTATTAAATCCTTGTTCTGTGCATTCCTGACATATATGTACAAAACTGATATCTAATGGGCCACTGATTGTATACACTAAATCAGAATGTTGGGCGATGCCCACTGCTCTTAGTCCACGTCTATCATGACATTCTATCACATGAACAGGTACAGTGCAATCTCCTTCGTCTGTTTTCCAGATGTCAACATTGCCTGAAAAATAGAAACATTGTATTATCAACATCTTCAAAATAAGCAAAAGACATACTTCACCTTAATGTATAAGAGAAACACCAACTCCAATATATTCAAACCATCTTTAAAATGCACTTTGGATAAAACACACAGGAATCCTTCATAGGAAAAATGTTCATGGAAACAGAATTATCCATGAAACATAGTACTTGAATTTTGTGGTACATTTACTGCTACTTCAGAAATTATTTGGTGCTTTTATTGATGCGAAAAATGTGACAGTATTAGGTTTGCAACAATCAAAAATAGCAATCATGAATAATAAATGCAAACATCTATTTCTGAATTTACAGTAAATTAAAATTTCCATGCACTTTGTTTCATTTGTCCACAAGTCATGTGATAACTATAGTTCCTACCTTGTCTGTATGCAGCAACAACAAATGTAGGTGAAACCGCTACATAAGTCACATGATTAGGTATAGTTACTACCTTGTCTGTATGCAGCAACAACAAATGTAGTTGAAACCACTACATAAGTCACATGATTAGGTATAGTTCCTACCTTGTCTGTATGCAGCAACAACAAATGTAGGTGACACTCCCACATCAGTCACATGATTAGGAATAGTTCCTACCTTGTCTGTATGCAGCAACAACAAATGTAGGTGACACTCCCACATGAGTCACATGATGATAAGGAAAAGTTCCTACCTTGTCTGTACCCAGCAACAACAAATGTAGGTGACACTCCCACATGAGTCACATGATGATAAGGAAAAGTTCCTACCTTGTCTGTACCCAGCAACAACAAATGTAGGTGACACTCCCACATGAGTCACATGATTAGGTATCGTTCTTACCTTGTCTGTATGCAGCAACAACAAATGTAGGTGACACTCCCACATGAGTCACATGATTAGGAATTGTTCCATCTTCAGTGTTCTCATTAATGACCAATGAAGTGTTAGATGGTTGGTACAAACAATCAAACTGTTCTGAAACATTCCATAACTTGACATCACCATTGGTATACCTGCAAGGACATCAAATATTACAACAAAAGAAAACAGTTGAAGTGAAAATTGAAATGATTTTTCATTGGATTGATTTGCTAAATAATTAGACATGCCAATTATAACATGAATAAAATAAAAATACCATAAAAAGTATCATTCCAATTTAAAGATATTCAAATCATCATAAACTTATTCAGTAAAACATTCAGTAAATGGATGTCATATGTGAAAAGGTCTTACATGATTATTTTCAATTTTATAAAAAGTATGTTGCTCTATGTACTAATTTAAAATAAAAAATGTTTAATAAAAGATTCGATTTTAGATTAGAATATGATGTCCATCAAGCAACCTTCTATGCATACCATTTTTTACAGGAATACATCTCATTTAAAATTTTAATACATTTAAACAAAATAAATTAAATTCTAATGTTATCATGTATAACATTCCCATAGAATTATGTTCTATTTAATACATGAAGAAATAGTTACCCAGCTACAATATTATCACCAGAAGAATTCACTGCACACAAAATTCCACCATGGACATGCTGTAACTGTGTAAAGCTTCCTAATCTGTTCTGAAAGACAAACATTATGGAATTTTTATTTGTCAATCTAAATTTTATATAACATAAAACATAATAAATACATGACATTTTTATATATCTTTTATAAATTTAATACAAATGTACACACATTTTATTTTTATCATGCCTACTTAAACCTTTACTCAGTGAACATGGTTTTGGTATACATATGTGGTTACAAGATACCTTCCAATTATAGACAAGTTTTCTTTCCACTTCAATATGATGTCTAACAACTGTCTTCCACTTCCTTTTTTCTACTGCATCTGTATCTTGTTCATAACCAAGCTTATGACAAATTCTACACCATAATAACTCATCATCCGCTAAACTCTTCCAACTCTTTGATACCTTAAAATAACAAAAGCATGAGTCAAGTCATTAAGGAAATTGACAACACAAAAAATTTAAATATTCATTGCATGTCATGTGTCCTTAAAATAAAAGGAGATGTTGGGTATACATGTACATCAATGAGGAAGTAACCCAATAACAAAATCAGCCAAAAGACATTTACAATGTAGATATCAAGTTTCTGGCTTTAACAATAGTATATATGTAGGACTCAGAACCGTGATGGTACTCTGAACTGTGATGGTCACGCTGAAGTGCGATGGTCCACGCTGGAGTGCGATGGTCCATGCTGAAGTGCGATGGTCCACGCTGAAGTGCGTCGGTTAACACGCTGAAGTGCAAGGGTGACATGACGTTAACTTGTTGAAAGCTACGCTGAAGTGCGATGGTGGTTATGCTGAAGTGCAATGGTCTTCCTGTGACATTGAGTAAAAAGCAAAATATACATGGGCTGCATGAAATAACGTCATTAAGATTTGACCAAAGTAGCTGCTTGCCTCTCATTTGGAAGCTTGTTTAACTTCTGTTCAGGTCAAACTACACGTTGCAGTATTGAGTCAGAAAATAGATTGGATGGTTCAGATAAGCATAATGGGTTTGAGTGGAGTAAAATCTCTTTTTATAGGGTGTTCAAGGACAATAAAAAAAGGTCCAGCGTAAGTGTCTATATATAGCACTAAGCAGGGTCCATCTCATTTTATAAAATATAATTTGTTCATGTCATGACAAACTTAAAAATTTCTCCCAACAATCATTCATCCATTTATCTGATGTTGGAACAGTGTCCAAGAAGTAAAAATTAGCCAATTATATTTATGCTTGATTTATAGCATGATGTGTCACGTATTCCACCAAAGACTTTAAAGTTAGCTGCTTCTCCGTTGAGGAGGAGAAATTTGGAAGTACACGTAGGGACCAGTCAGGTTTACTTCGACCAAACTTGTTGTAGAAGATTAACAATGCAACCACAATAAAATTATGCTAGAATGCCGGTGTTCTTACAAGGCAGGATTTATCTCTGGAATAAAACAACATTATATCAACTTAATATAGCAAAAACATTGCTTTTAATTAATTTTATCATTAAATTGTCCACACAAAATCATGTGACGCATACTTGAAGAGAAGTAAAAAATTTTATCTAAATCAATATATTTTATCTATTGTGCAAAAAGTTTGCGGCATACTTCCGAACACTGAGTAGCATATTTGCTGACCAAGTTCATCTTTGAGCTGCTTTGCTCCCCATGATTTGCTGCCTGAAATGGTTTAACATATTTTTGTAACCTCCACCTGTACTGGTCAAAACTGTTCGGGACTTGAATCGTTCGTTACATTTTATTTTTTCATTCCTTTCTTTCTTTGCCTGAGAATCCATGTTGTATTTTTAAAAGTAACATTGTATTTGAAAACATCACAAAATTCAAGCGGCATACCAAAACATTGCACTTCAGCGTGGACCATCGCACTTCAGCGTGACCATCGCACTTCAGTGTACCCATCGCACCTCCGAGTCCTACATATATATATATATACATAATTACTCTGAATATCAGCACAACAATGTTAAATCTGCAAATTTGCGGAGCAAATTTTTGTTCTTCCCTCGCTGGGATTCGAACTCATGCTATTGTGATATCGAGACAACACCGCCTGCACTGTGTCCAGCGCTCTAGATCACTCCGCCACCTAGACTGAACTAATATTTCAGCTTTCGGTGGCCTAGTGTTACCTATATATATATCTGAAATAAAAAAAATCTTAAAACTAAATTTAACTAAATTTCATTTTTAAGAGATTTATATACATGTAACATCAAAATTTAAAAAGGTGCAATATTTTTACAGTTTGAAACAAGATTTGAATAAAAGGAGCTCAACCATCAAATGAAAGTGGAACATCTAAGATATCCTCAACCAAATTTGTTATTACATGTACCAGCAATAAGGCTGAATAACCAATGATAGCACTGGTCAATACATGTGAACTGGTTATCATTTTAGTGCGCTGGTACCCTTGCTTTTCAATATCAGGATGAAAATGTTTCAATTTTTGACACCTTCTAACACTGTCTAACCAAATAATAACTACATAATTACATGTATCAATAAGTATCATTCATTGTACTCACCTGAGAACATCTGCACAAGTCTTTCAGATCAAGAGGTTCAAATATTTTTATTGCAACCTCCCTTGGGACTGTCAGATCAAAAAATGGAATTTCATTTATTTCATCCTAAAATAGTAATTAATAAATTAAAAACAACAGCAAATTGATTTTGATTATAACTTTAATTTGATAATCAGTTTAGAAGACAAAATATTCTGTTTATTCTTTTCTATTCCCATAGTTACATTTTATACATAAAATATGAAAATCCTATTTTATGAAATTTGCAAGTCAATCACTTTTGATGTTTGGTGTCAATTCTATGTTGTTGTGATGCTTAAGATTTACAGGTAAACAAAATTAACAAATTTATTTCCTCCAATGGCAAACAAACTCTATATTTGGTATATCAGCATTGTTCAGAGTATTTGCAGGCAAAAATTATAAATACACAAATGTACAGATTACTAAATTATCATGATTATATTGTATATTCACTAATTCTTTAAAAAATATCTTACCAAATCAGCAATAAACAAGTCCAAATAGCTCTCTTTGTCATCCTCCTTTCGACCTTGCTTATTCGAAAAGATGTCTTTCACGTCTTCATTTCCGAATGCATCATATTTTCTTTTCTTTCCACAGGTGCTTGTCACTTTTGTGTTTGATAAAAACTCTGTTTCTAGATTTTGACTTTGTTTGATTTGATCTTTTGAATTAAGAAGACCATCAACTATTCGGAACGGGTAGAACTGAGTGTTGGTTTTATGTTCTTTATTTTGTTTAGTGATAAATAAACACGTATGACACTTGTTATTTTCTCTAAAAGCTGGGTGGACTCTGCACTCAGAACAATTTGTTGGATTGGATTTCTGGTTATTAGATATATTTTCTGGGAGGACAATATCGATTGCTAATGTAGGATCAACAGCTATTGAACCTTGTCCTCTTCTTTTATCTGGAATGACCTTACTCCCTTGAAGCTCATTTTTCCATTCAGTTCGGAACTTTTCAAGGTCATTTGATGCCATTATATGTGTATATGAAATATAAATTTAACAGTGCATGTGTATTTTTAAACTTTCAACGGGTCAAACTCTAATAGATAACATACTTCAATGTACAGATCAGCTGCAGTCAACGTTTGTTTACGTTCGTCTCGGAAGATCTCTAATTCTTCATAAATGTCTGATCACCCGAAAAGATACAAGGTCTGCCACATTACCATTTGAAAGTTTAGAAAATTGCACACAACTATTTCCGGGAATTATAAGACATCGTAATCCAAATAGACCATTTTCATATTACCGACTTTTGACTCCGGATTATATAATTTTTCGACAGGTTAACTACTTTGTGGTAGGACATCTTGGTACTTGGTCAAGTAAAAGCAACCAATAAGAATTAAATCTAATATATAATCGGTGCAATTTGGGAGGAAAGTTTACTTTTTTTTTTACTGTTTTCCGACGATTTTGTCGTGTATAGAAAACATTAAACAGTTAAATTTCTTCCAAAATTGTACCGATAGAACGCTTTATTTAACTTCTTTACGTTGCTCTTACTTGACAGAGTACCAGGATGTCCTACCACAGAGTAGGTAACCTGTAAAATTCCAGAGTCAAAGTTCGGTAATATGAAAATAGTTTATTATATGAGGGTCTTGGTGGGGTTTACAGAATAGAGAAAAATGGGCAAAAAATATAGTATAGAGAAAAATAAAGAAACAAATAAAGCATAGAGAATAACGGGGGGCTAAAATATGAACTATATTTGAAGATAAAAGAATATTATAATGGGCTAAAAAAGACGAAGAATACAGAAATGAAGGACCACCAGTGATGGGTCTGATTTCTTTCAATGTAATCAGAGACATATATATGTGTATATATGTCTCTGATGTAATTGATTAAATTACAATTACTTTGTCAATTGTATGATTAAATCAAATTAACGATTACACCATTTCTCAAAATAACTAATTGAATTAATGATTACATTGGCAAGTAATCATGATTACATCTGATGACAATGAATTTCAAAATAACCCATTTGAATGATGTTAATGAATAAGCGTTATAACTGTATCGCTTTTTGAGGAAGGTTTTAATTTGATATGTTATTAAATAATAACTTCAAACTTAATCAATTTAATTAACCACAAAGATTCACGAATACGAATATTTTATTCTCATAAACATAATGTTACAGAGAAATTAGTATACAATTATAATACCATAATAGTGCATGCGTAAACACATATGCATTTAATTGTGTATGTTTAACACAATTTAACTAACCAGGAGAGACGACAATCGATAATACATCAGTGTTTAATAAATCTTGCTAGTTTTTCTAATACAATAATATCAGTTGATGAGAATAACTGATTAAATTTTGCAGTATTTGCATTTTTTTGACAATATTGCGGTAACAATTTTTTCCTTTCTAAACTAAAAAAGTTACAGACTAGTATATAATGGTACTCATCACCTGTTTCATTTGAGTCACATACATTACAGGTTCTTTCGTCTCTTTGAATTTTATGCCATCTGCCCGATTCAATGGGCAAACGATGACAGCCACAACTGAATTTACATAAAAAATACATAAGATGTGAGGGTAGTAATTCGCATTTTAACTGTGAGCGAGATCGGAAATCGTCCGAGTTCTCCAATAATGCTATTTTGTGTTGTCTGCTTCAGGTTTAATATGATCTTGCAAAAACGCAAGTGTACTTTTTCTAAAACATCCAAATTTTCAAAACCCAAGACCTCTGAACTGTAAAGTAATACTGGTAAAATGGCTTTATCAAACACATCTAATTGACATTCAATTGATAAATTATGTCTTCGCGATTTTTTTAATAAACTATACATTGCTTTTGTTCCCTGGTCTCTTAAATATTTTCTTGTAGTTAAAAATGATCCACTTCTAGCAAAAAATACACCAAGATACTTGTATTCTTTGACAATTTCTATTTCTTTATTACAAAAATAAAATTTTTCTTTTTCTGAAATTCTTCCACAATACATTTACATGAACATTTTGTCACTGGTTATGGTCCGGCACATAACTAAAAATGCTGATATGAACTCACTATGCATATGGCCAGTTTTGAGCATATTTTTGCCAAGGGCTTTTGGAATGAGAGAAACTAAATTTCTTTACCAGTGAGTTTTACATAATACACAAGTAATTTCTACCTGTCAACATGTAATGATGTCCTCACAAAACAAGTTAAAAAATCATTTAACTAACATTTTGTTGGTATCAAATTTCATGCATATCCATATTTTATAAAACATGAATAATAAAAAGGTTAATTTAAGACCTGATATATTGACCATAAACACAATTTGAGAATATTTTTCACTTTAATCAGAATGTAATCAAAAAGTTATTAGGATTACAAGGTATTTATAAAAAGTAATAGATTAAATTAGATTACAGGTAATTAGATTTTTGGATTATTAATGATTACAATGATTACTTGAAAAATTGTAATCATTCGATAACAGCTGATTAATGATTACAATTACAATTACCCCAAGCCTGAGGACCACCATCCAGACCCTCTTATACAGTATTGATTATTGTATCTTGTATTTTGTGTGTTACTGAAATGGATTGGATTAGGCGGTTGTATATCTAACCGAGAAGATTAAACTGCATAATGTATTTTTTTATTTTGCAAATCATTTTACCGATTTGGGATATGGCCCATCTTGTCTTGTTTTTTTTTAAATTATTGTAAATATTTTGTTGGTTTGTGCAGAGACATGTAAAGTAGCCGAGATTGGCAAACTTATCGTTACCACTATGATGAAGTTGTCAAATTCACGCATATATAATCCCTTTCACAGCATTCCTTTATGGGAGTACTAAAGATACCATCAAATTCAAACTGTACGGTCGCAGAGACAGCATTAAATCTATCGAAAAATTTGTTCATTTTAATTGTAATTCGAAAAGAACAAAAACAGTAAATTAAAAATCTTTTGTTTAATCTCAGGTTTGTATTTGTGACAATGTATTTTAAAAGGGTCAATGTTCTTATACTTATAAGCATTTTTTATATAGATTAGACCATTGGTTTTTGGTACATTGGTTTTTCCCGTTTAAATGGTTTTACACTAGTAACTTTATAGTCAATAAATCAACCAGTCGGACTAATATTAGTGTGCATTAACGTCTCCATGCTTTGCTTTATCAAATATCATTTGGTCATTAGTCATCCTCTGAATAATGTTGCCTCCCTTTGTTTGTTTTAGGCCGAAGTAGCAAGACTGACCCAAAGAAGGATGGCGATAGACATCGGAATGTTCAACTTTGTTGAATATTTAGTGACAAACCCATCGATTCTTATTGCAATAGTTCTTCTTTATTGCTTCATTTTCGGCCTTTCTATTTTATTCTCTGGTCCAAAACCTGGGAAAAATCCATTTTCCATCAACCATGTTCGACCTGTGGCAAAGCTTGTGACTGACAAAAGTCAAAGAAAAAAAGTACTAAAACAGAGTATGTAACATCATTATTGTAATATGAAAATATATTAAGAGAAATTCTTGCCAATAAAGATGAAGACGATTTTACTGTTAAATGAAGAGCAATTCTGTATTCCCATGATTCCTGTATTTCTCATGTATCCTACCGTAGTCTATAATCGGTCATCATGTTGATTCTTCGGAATTTGTTATTGTACTTATCACACGGGAAAACTCCGCATTAACGTCACTACGCTAATACCAGCGTACAAAATTAGTGCAGAATACATTTTTTATACTCTTCTAAATAAAAAAAATATTCTAAAGATATGTTTTCATTGTTATTCTAAAGTATTGTACAAAAATGTCAATTTTCTAATGGCCGTTTCAAACCTGATTTCCGAATGCCTAAACACATTCCAGAGCTTCAGAAAATCCCTCTTCCGGCCTCCATTGCTTTGTTTACATTCCATTAAGCGTCATCAATCTTAATGGCAGACCAAACAGGCCAAGCAAATCGTATTTTTAAGAATTTCAAAATGGCAAGCACCTTATGTCTTACGCTATTTTCCCGCGAAAAAAACCCCATCCAAATTGAAAGAAAAACTTTGGGAAACAAACGATAATCACGCCATATATTTGTTCAGGAATATAGAGTAGGTTAATAAAAAACAATATACATGTTGTACATATATTTTTCATAAAAAAAAATTTTGGTTCAATATAAAGAGATCGATATTCTGACCATAAGTAAATATTCATATAAAATTCCATAGATGTCAAATTTCATGGCTAATAATGAGGTTTCCTATTGAATAAACCCCCAATTTATTGCAAAATATTTCAAAGCAATATCATACAAACAAATAATATAATTGCCTTGTACTAAAAAATCACCTAATTGACAGTAGAGCAATTTGATTGGATATAACGATTCAATGTGTCACATGGTTTTGAAGCCATTAGAATTTGAATGTAAACAAACCGGGTCAGCTGCTCCAGTATGGAACAACATCGTACATTCAGTGACTGAAAAACAGTTATGAGTAACCAAGCTTGACAACACACAGTAATAAAAAAAACAAAGCTAAGTCTACAGAAAAATAAAATAAAAAATGTCCTTAAGTGCATGACTTACCATCATTGCGGGATACTGTAGAGCAAAAGACCTAACTGCTATTTTTGAATCTGGGACTCTTGACCCGATATTTTGCAACTCTTTGACATCATTCAACAATCACTTTGAATTATTGCGCTAGACCTTTTCTATAGACATATTTACACTTGTATGCAAATAGATGTATTTACACTTGTAAAGTTGTATGCAAATTTGTTCTCCATTACTTCAAAATTAAGTTCCCGTAAAATTTGACATCACAATTTAAAAAATTTGGTGTCATAATTAAAATGTGATTCTTGCTTGACATCAGATGTTTATTCGGAGACAGATCTTAGCCTGGCATCCTGACCCAATCTAATACTTTGTCAATAGGGTCAGGCATAATACAATCCACGTGACCAACTATCAGCGCTGAACAGGACTGAATTACTGCGCATGTGCATGTTTTATAAACAAGGAATATATGGATCAGATCATTAATTAACAGTTGATTAACAATGTTAATCTATAACGTCTGAATTATATATGCTAAATTTTTCGAAATTTTCATTTCATATGAAATGAAAAATAATTTTTAATGAATTCATGACCATATAAATATTTCCTGCCATATGTCAAGAAATGACGCTATCCCACGATGCATCGTTCTAACATCCAATTGACAAAACCATGTCGTTGTATTCCGCCTGGCTCCACTGTGGAGCAGTGAGCCAGGATCCCAGGCTATGACAGATCTAAGGTCATTCGGAGACAAAATTCAGCTAAATACCAAAAGTGTTATTACATTTATTAGTCTGCCAATACTTGTAGCTCAATCAAAAAAATCACCACAATTATATTGTACACTTTAATTTAAACTGCAATTGTTCTGCTCCTCGGGGCGTCTTGATTGACAAATAAAAATTGTTGTTGTTGTTGTAAGACAAATAAGTTCCATTAAATTTTTTTGTCACAATTTCATAAATTTGACATCATAATTAAAAATGGATTGTTGCTTGATGTCAGAAGTTTATTTGGAGACAGATCTAGGGTCATTGGGAGAGAAAATTCAGCTAGATTTAGAAATAATTCATAGGGCCTGAATTTATATCGGTTTTACCACGGGTTGACCCTTTATGCTAAATATTTTACTAGGAGAGATAGCGAGGGGTAAAATCGACATAAAAATGGAATATCGGCAAGCCCCCGTGAATTATTTCTATTCTAATAGGACAAAGACGGCAATTCTTTTGGATTGAAATGCTCTAGGTGAAGTTAAATATTTGCTGTTCCTGTAATTGAACTCTCAAAAAAATCATGGTCTTCCCTGTACTCTAATTCGCCCACAGCTTTTCCATATGAAATGACCTTAACATTGAGTTCTTTCATTAGAAATCTTGCAATCACACACTGAAAGTGTGAAGGGAAACCGTAATGAATATAGTATAAATCGATTCTGAAAGAAATCTTTAAAATACAACTTATCATTTAACAACTGTTATGACAAAGTTTAATAATCAAATGGGAACACATTGAAGATATGAAAAACCCAACCAAACATTGCTCCATCATCTCATTAACTTTTCGCATGATCCATTCTTCTGCGTTGATCGTTTAGCAAAGTCACGATTCAGTAAACTTCGTTAACAAAACCAGAGAGTTAATTAGCAGCCAAAGTTTTAGATCAACAAACTTCAAATGAAATATATTTTGTCAATTAAATGTTATGGGTTTCGGAATAAATATAAAAAAGTGCACAAAGGACTATATTAAGTAATTATGCATGCATTGGTGCAATGATTTTGTTGAAATTATAATCACCAGAAACTCGTTTCATATGACTTTAATAGATAAGTATAAACTGCAAACAGTGAAAATTATCATCAATTCAAGATCTACAAAAGTGCCACTAAATAAGATTTACAAATAAGGCCTGACTTTTTTTTATTATCTGTTCAACAATGCCGCCAACTCCAATTTTCCTGATTTCAAAATAAAAATAAAAGTAGTGCTTCCTACTTTTATTTTTCCCGCTGACTGTTCACGAAATCCCCGGAATGTCATAAAAATACTAGTAGGAGTTCGCGGTCCCGAATTTTTCTCTTAGCATGGTAAGAAAACAATATGTCGACTTCTGCTAGGGAATCGTTTTTTTACATAAAACTTGAAACCAGATCTGTCAATAGAAGTTTATGCTCCTTGAAATTCGTTAAATGTCAATGAGGTGACACAATCAGTACCATGTTGTCCACAGAATTGGCAGACATGAATGTTAGCATCAGCCGCATTCAAACAGACGATTCCTATGTGAAATCTGACATGCCTGTCAGTGTTTTGGAGGATTTCAGGTTTGTATTTTTCTTTTTTGTGTTTTCCTTTTTTGTTGGATCCTTTTATCAGTTTCATATGAATCATAAAATTGAGAATGGAAATGGGGAATGTGTCAAAGAGACAACAACCCGACCATAGAACAGACAACAGCAGAAGGTCACCAACAGGTCTTCAATGCAACGAGAAATTCCCGCACCCGGAGGCGTCCTTCAGCTGGCCCATGCCCATTTGGGATGTGGGTGGTCTATTAAACGATGCAATAAAAATTCAATTTAAAAACTTCTTTATAAATTTGACACAATTATACATCATTTTTTATACAAACTGATAAAACATTCATCACTGTATTTAATAAACTTTGTATATTTTGATATGGTGTTGTTATTGTTTTCATCATTCATAGAATTATAATGACTTACTTATTTTGTAAACTGTGTTTGCCTATGGCTAAAGTAGGTCCAGTATAGAAATAGAAACCTATTACCGGTATTAAAAAGGTTATATTTTTGGCTAGAACAAGACTTGCAGTTTCTTTAATATTGTTTATCAGAAAAAAATATCACTAGTTTATTAAATAGATGAGCTCTTTTATAATTCTATTAATAGTCAAGTCTGTGAAGCACTAGCTAGAACCCCAAGTTTCCATTGTGCTAACATTAACTGGTTAGTATCCATGCACAAAGCATACACCATACAGTTATGTTACAAAGCAAGCTAGCACACTGCAAAGGATGTTTAAGGGTCAGAGGGTACATATGAAATACATGCAAGTTTAAATATAAAAAGAAAGATTATAAATGTTATGCAAGTTGTAAAATTAGAAATTATATATGAGCTATGGTTTGATATGAACTACAAAAAGGAAGTGTGAAACACATACACAAACATTGCATACATCTTCACATCAATAGTTCTAACTTCTAGGTGCACAAAAGAAAAGCACAAGAAGCACAAATTATAAGTCTGACATGCAAGGTATTTTATATAAGTATATTTTTTTCTTGCAGGCCAGACCCAGGTCTAAGACGGTAATTGTTTCTACTGCGGAGATAGCGAAGTGGTCCCCGGCATTCATCCAGAGATACATAGACTAAAAAATGAAAACGCAATAGTGCGACCAATATGTTCATCATGCATGGACTCTGGACTGAAGATTATGACCAGGAATGCAAAAAAAAAAAAAATGATCAATAAAATTCACATTGATATGTTGTTTAATTTATATTTGCCTGGATCTGTATTAGAGGCAATACAGAATGAACAAAAGCCTATTTTGTGATTTGGTGATGTCTTCGTGCCATTGCCTCATATCTGTTCTTTTTCATATATTTAAAACATAGTTAATATTTTCAAAACAGATGGATGTAAGTATTTGTCTGTTCTCATTTCATAGTTCTTGTCATTTGATAAATTTCTAGAAAAAAAAAATTGAACTCATATAATGATTTTATTTTTTTTTTTTTTTTATCTACTGGACAAATTATGCACTTTTAATTTAATATTTATTTCACCCCCTTGACCCTAAATTTTGATAAATTTCCTGACTAAACAGATAATAAAAAAAGTCTGGCCTAAGCAAAACCTAAGTAGTAGGTATTCCTATGGGCACTAACTGCGCCCCTTTAATAGCAGATTTATTCCTGTATTGCTATGAATCTCAGTTTATAACCAAACTCAGTAAAGACACGTCATTGTTACATTTGGTGGATACATTCAACAATACCTACCGTTATTTGAATTTTATTTTTTCGTTAAATAATCCAGAGTTCTCTAAATATACTACCGAAATTTACCCAAAGGAATTACTTTAACTAAATCTAACATAAACAGCAGTAGTTGTCCTTTTCTAGATTTAGACATTTCAATTTCTAAAGAGAAACTCCGTACTAAAATTTACGACAAAAGAGATGATTTTTCATTCCCTATTGTTAATTTTCCTTTTTTAGACGGCGATGTTCCTTTGGCTCCATCATACGGTGCTTATATATCCCAACTCGTTCGTTATGCTTGTGTGTGTAGTGATGTCATAGATTTTAACAAACGTAATCAATGCATCACTGGTAAATTATTAAGTCAGGGATTTCGTTACCATATATTACTTAAAACTTTTACTAAATTCTTTCATAGATACAAAGATTTGATTAGTAAATTTGGCTGTACCTGTAGAAAACTTATTAAAAACAGTATTTCACATCCTAAATTTAACGGTAATATTGTACTAAAAGCGCGGAAATCACTATGTGATCCGTGTAAACTCATCGAACATTTAAACAAACTTATCAGTAAAGGTTATCTTACCAGTGTTGTAATTAGATCTTTGAATATAGTTTACATTGGCACTAATATCGATTTTGACATCAGCAAATTAAAACATAACTAAATTTGTATTCTTTTCAAACGGGATGCATAAAGACACACCCACGTTCATTTTTGATACGACCGCAAAAAAATTTTTGTGGTCGTATATTGGTATGACGTTGGCGTAATTGTCGTCGTCGTCTTCCGGCGTCGTCATCGTCGTCCGAAGACACATTAGTTTTCGCACTCTAACTTTAGTTTAAGTGAATGGATCTCATTGAAATTTTACCATAAGGTTCAATACCACAAAAGGAAGGTGGGGATTGATTATGGGGGTTATGGTACCCTCAGTTAAGGAATTAGGGGCCAAAAAGGGGCCAAAAATAAGCATTTTTGTAACTTCCAGACATAACTTGTGAGTAAGTGTATGGATCTCTCTGACATTGTATCACAAGGTTCCATATCACAAAGGGAATGCTGTAATTGATTTTGGGGGTAATTGCCTCCAAATTTTAGGAATTATTGGCCAAAAAGGGGCAAAAAACAAGCATTTTTCTAGTTTCATGACAATAACTTGTGTGTAAGTGTATGGATCTCTCTGACATTGTATCACAAGGTTACATATCACAAAGGGAATGCTGAGATTGATTTTGGGGGTAATTGCCTCCAAATTTTAGGAATTAGGGGCCAAAAAGGGGCAAAAAACAAGCATTTTTCTAGTTTCCAGACAATAACTTGTGTTTAAGTGTATGGATCTCTCTGAAATTGTACTGCAAGGTTCCATATCACAAAGGGAATGCTGGGATTGATTTTGGGGGTAATTGCCTCAAAATTTTAGGAATTAGGGGCCAAAAAGGGGCAAAAAACAAGCATTTTTCTAGTTTCAGGACAATAACTTGTGTGTAAGTGTATGGATCTTTATGAAATTGTACTACAAGGTTCCATATCACAAAGGGAAGGCTGGGATTGAGTTTGGGGGTGATAAATCATAAGGGGGTTCAAAAAATTTGGGGGAGGGATTTTTTTTTTTTTTTTAATTTTCCATTTTAAATTGGTTATTTCTGATTTATATATAAAAGCAAATAATAATGATATGGTTTGAATAGGTAAATTAAAATTTTTTAAGTTCTTAGACCACATTCATTCTGTGTCAGAAACCTATGCTGTGTCAAATATTTAATCACAATCCAAATTCAGTGCTGTATCAAGCTTGAATGTTGTGTCCATACTTGCCCCAACTGTTCAGGTTTCGACCTCTGCGGTCGTATCAAGCTGCACCCAGCGGAGCATTCTATTCTGAAATTGTTTAACATTCACAGCGGTATAATACTGTTACTTTAACTATTCATCCCTTATTTTATTGATTTTGTATTTACATTGTATCATAGATCAAATTTATTCGTTCAGTGTATGTTCACTTGTGTTAATATGTGTTTTGATTGAGTTAAGCCATTTCAATTGATATTTTATAGTGTGTATTTCTATGTTGTGATGTTACACTATTGTTTCAGATAAGGGTGAAGGTTTGGTATCATTTAAACGTTTAAACCCGCTGCAATTGTTTGCACCTGTCCTCAGTCAGGAATCTGATATTAAGTAGTTGTCGTTTGTTGATGTGGTTCATAAGTGTTTCTCATTTTTTATATAGATTAGACCGTTGGTTTTCCTGTTTGAATGGTTTTACACTAGTTATTTTTGGGGCCCTTTATAGCTTACTGCCAAGGCTCCGTGTTGAAGACCGTACTTTGACCTATAATGGTTTACTTTTATAAATTGTGACTTGGATGGAGAGTTGTCTCATTGGCACTCATACCACATCTTCTTATATCTATGACATTGCAATAAAGGTAAAAATAAATATCAAAATGACATATTGTTACCAGATGAGCAATTCAGGCTCTTGGGGGCCTTTTTTGTTTCGGCACATAAGTTCTATGTATTATATTGCCAGCAGATTCATTTGATGTATCCCATCTGGCCTGGACCTCCTTTACATGGTCCAATGTTCAGGTGAAAGTTTTTCTTTCATTAGGTTTGTTTATTGGCTACTATACTTCGTAAGTCATAATAAGTTGATTTGAGGAAATTATTTTGTTTGTCTGACAGGTGTCTGACACATACATTTTAATTATTTTCATTCTCTGAAGGTCAACAAGTTTTTGAATATGGATTGTCTGTTATAATTCACCCTAGCCATTCTCTTAGATTACTCAAATAACAAAATGGACATACATTTTCATATTGGTTGTCCATCCCTGGATTAAATTTTAACATAGGGTTAAATACATGTATCGTAACCATGGGTTAAATTTCAATCCTAGGTTATTTTCTGTTGTTCTTCATGTAGCTAGATTTAACCCTTTATTAAGTGCTTGATTAAATGATTCAGATTTAACCAACATGTAGCTCCAGACTAGGGATTCAATTTAAACCAAGGAACATTTGTTGTATAAAAGTATCACTTCCAATTCTTAAAGGATGTAGAAAATAAAGGAAATAACATTGAAATTCACATCAACTCACTCTTTCCTTTTTCTTTTTGTAATAAAAAATAATGAAAAAGCTTAACAGTCCATCCCCCCCCCCCGTTTTGGGTTGAGGTTTACATCTGCACCTCCTTGAGGTGATTGATTCAACATATTTTTATACCTCCTTACCTTCTATGTCCATTTATATAGAAGTGTTATCATTTATCAGCAAAAATTTCAAATTTTGACCTAGGGTTAAACACATGTATCGTAACCATGGGTTAAATTTCAATCCTATAAATAAGAAGATGTGGTATGAGTGCCAATGAGACAACTATCCATCCAAGTCACAATGTGTAGAAAGTAAACAATTATAGGTCAAAGTACGGCCTTCAACACGGAGCCTAGGCTCACACCAAAGAGCAAGCTATAAAGGGCCCCAAAAAGACTAGTGTAAAACAATTCAAACAGGAAAACCAACAGTCTAATCTAAATTAAAAACAAGAAACAAGAAACACTTATGAACCACACCAACAAACGACAACCACTGAACAATAGGCTCCTAACTTAAGACAGGTGCATAAAAATGCAGCTGGTTTAAATGTTTTAACAGGCGCCAACCTTCACCCTAACCTGAAGCAGTAGTATAACATTACAACATAAAAAGACACACAATAAAGATCAATTGAAATGGCTTACCTTGATCAAAAAGACAATACAGAATAACAAATAAATATACATCGAAAGAATAAGTTTAATCTATGACACAATATAAATAAAAAAGGTGTGTCAATGTCAAAAAGACAACTTTAACCTAGGACAAAATGGTGGTTAAATTTCAATCCTACGTTATTTCTGTTGTTCTTGTGGTTAAATAAGTTTAGTACGAACTAAAGACAGAACTTTAAAGACTTAAATTCATGTAATCAAATTTATCAACTGAAGCAGTTTTCTATTCACATTCTGTGAACATTTAACCATGACAATGCATGAGTTATTAAAAAAGAAATTGAACATCAGAATTTTATCCCTTGGTCAAGTTATATAAAAGATAACCCTGGGTTATATTTAACCAAATATTTAATCATGACATGCATGAGATGAACAAACTAGTTCTGACCACCAATAACCATAAAATTTGTAGAAAGAGTCATTTAAACCCCCAAAAAACAGACACAATAGAGACAAACATAACTTTCAGATTATAATTTTTTGTTTATAGAATTCAAGCCATATGACGTGCCGTCAGAGAAACTAGATGCCATAGTAATTGGTAGTGGAATTGGAGGCTTATCAACAGCTGTATTACTAGCTAAAGCTGGAAAGAAGGTCTTAGTTCTAGAACAACATGGCAGAGCTGGAGGGTGCTGTCATACTTTTACTGATAAAGGATACGAGTTTGATACAGGTATGTTTTTGTCACCCCTCTGCCAGAAAAATTCAGAAAAAAATGAAAACAAATAAAATCACTTCTTTTCTTGGACCCCAAATTTAAAATGGCCAGTATGTACTTTCATTATAATTAATGCAGGATTTGAGATTAATACAGTCTTTCTATAGCTAAAGCCTGAAAGATGATCCTCATTTAAATATAGAATTGACAGGCTTGTTTTCAAAATTGATTAGTGTCATGGGAGAGAGATTTTCTGTATATGTTGAAGCATTTACTGGCTTGAGTTGACAGGCTGTCTTAATATTTTATTTGAGGAACTGTATGTTACTGTCTAAAGTTGAGAAATATGGTTAAAAGCACAATGTGGGAGGATCACAATTTAAGTAATGTTGATCAGCTTTCATTACTGTAAAGTGGGAAATTTTCACGAAGTATTTATTTTTATACGTCCGTTTACGGGACGTATTATGGTATACCGTTGTCCGTCGTCAACATGTCGGACATTAACTCAAAAACACTTTAACCAATTTGCATAAAACTTTGGTGAATTGTTTATATCTATTGACGTGAGCTCCCTTTCATTTTTTTATAAATTTTAGATACGTTTCCGAGTTAAGGGGTTTTATTCATTAAAAAAAGGGGGATTTTCCAGTTTTCGGACAATAACTCAAGAATGCTTTCACCAACTTGCAAGAAATTGTGGTGAATTGTTTATATCTATTGACATGAGCTCCCTTTCGATTTTTATACATTTTAGATTTTACGTATCCGAGTTACAGGGTTTTATTCATAAAAAAAGGGGGATTTTTCATTTTTCGGACAAAAAATCAAAAATGCTTTCAGCAGTTCTTATGAAACTTTGGTGAATTGTTTACATCTATTGATGTAAGCTCCGTTTAGAATTTTATAAATTTTTCATTTATCATTTCTGAGTTATGGGGTTTTATTCAGTAAAAAGGGGGGATTTTTCAGTTTTCGGACTATAACTTCAGCAGTTCTTATGAAACTTTGGTGAATTGTTTATATCTATTGATGTAAGCTCCGTTTAGAATTTTATAAATTTTTCATTTATCATTTCTGAGTTATGGGGTTTTATTCATTAAAAAAGGGGGGATTTTCCAGTTTTTAACCGGATTTTTGTGTCAAAAATGTCGGTTATTGATTTGGGGATGTACAGCGGGCGGGCGGGCGGGCGGGCGGGCGGCAACCAAATGTTGTCCGTGCATTTACTCATGAACCATTCAACCAAACCTTTTAAAATTTTAATATGTTGTTACTGACAACAAAATGGAGGTCAAGTTTAATAATGACGATTTTGACTTTTACCGTTCAGGAGTTACGGTTCTTGAAAGTTTAAAAAATGTCGTGTCCGTGCATTTACTCATGAACCGTTCAACGAAACCTTTTTAAATTTTAATATGTTGTTACTGACAACAAAATGGAGGTCAAGTTCAATAATCACGATTTTGACTAGTTAATTTTGGGTCTAGTTTTCAAATTGGTCTACATTAAGGTCCAAAGGGTCCAAAATTAAACTTTGTTTGATTTTAACAAAAAATGAATATATTGGGTTCTTTGATATGCTGAATCTAAACATGTATTTAGATTTTTGATTTTTGGCCCAGTTTTCAAGTTGGTCCAAATTGGGGTCCAAAATTAAACTTTTTTTGATTTCAACAAAAATTGAATATATGGGGTTCTTTGATATGCTGAATCTAACCATGTATTTAGATTTTTTATTTGTGGGCCCCGCTATCAAATTGGTTCATATTGAGGTCAAAAGGGTCCAAAATTAAACTTTGTTTGATTTCATCAAAAATTGAATTATTGGGGTTCTTTGATATTCCAAATCTCGCTGTGTATTTAGATTTTTAATTTTGGGTCCCGTTTTTTAAATTGGTCTACATTAAGGTCCAAAGGGTCCAAAATTAAACTTAGTTTGATTTTAACAAAAAATGAATATATGGGGTTCTTTGATATGCTGAATCTAACCATGTATTTTGATTTTGGACATTGGACCATGATAGGTAAATTAAAAAAAATCAAGTTCTTAGACCACATTCTTTCTGTGTCAGAAACCTATGCTGTGTCAAATATTTAATCACAATCCAAATTCATAGCTGTATCAAGCTTGAATGTTGTGTCCATACTTGCCCCAACTGTTCAGGGTTCGACCTCTGCGGTCATATCAAGCTGCGCACAGGGAAGCATTTTATTTTTGTTGTGATCAGCGATCCACGAATTTACGTATACCACGAAACGTCTTTTTTTCTCTATCCACGAAAATTGATACCCACGAAAATAAATGAATCCACAGTACTTGCTCAACTGTTCAGGGTTCGACCTCTGCAGGAAAATCCGGTTTGCTGTCTCTCTGACAGCCTCTTGTCTGACAATAACTCAAAAATGCTGTCAGCAATTCTCATGAAACTTTGGTGAATTGTTTATATCTATTGATGTAAGCTCCCTTTACATTTTCATAAATTTCTAATATGACATTGAGAATTAATTGAACTTTATTTGTTTATAGTCTGACAACAGATTTACTAAGTTTTGCGCAACAGCACAGTGTATTGCACAACAGCAAGAAATCTTTAATTGAATATAAATTCAATTCATATAACCAATTTCAAGTTCTTTGACTACATTTATTCAGAAACCTATAATATGTCAAATATTTAATTACAATCCAAATTCAGACCTGTATCAAGCTTGAATATTGTGTCCATTTTTGCCCCAACTGTTGAGCGTTGGACCTCTGCGGCACTCACTTCAATTATTATTCATTTTCAGTTGGAATACAATTTTTAGACTAGTACAATAGTGATCTTACATTTTAGGTATCCATTACATTGGAAAGATGTATGACGGCCATCCAGATAAAGTTTTGACCGATCAGCTGACAGGAGGAGCTATAGAGTACCCCCTTTTAGAAGAAATTTATGATGTGGTTAGTACAACTCTGGGACAGAAATGAAAGAAATGACTTTGAAAAACATACTTTAAGATTTTTATGCCCCCGCTGTAGCGGAGGGTGCATTAAGTTTTACCCTTGTCCATCCGTCCGTACGTCCCAAAATTGGTTTCCGTTCTCTAACTTTAGAGTTCCTCTAGTAAATGTTATGAAACTTATACAAAATGCTTATTACAATAAAACACAGATCAAGTTCGAATTTGGGTGACTTCACTTTTACAGTTATCTAGTTACCCTTTATAATGTTATATGCAAGCAGGGGCATCATCTGTGTCCCATGGACACATTCTCCATTTATTTATAACATTTCACCTACAGCAAAATAAAGACTTTCAAGGTAGACATTTAGAACAAATGTACAGACATTCCTGGATAAACCAGACCCTGAATAAAATGGTTTCCTGTCCATGCTGGTCGAAAATTGAAGTCCCAATTTTTCTCCCTCAAAGTCTTTGTGAAAGTACCCTCTGTAAACTGGACCCTGTGACCTGTGTATTCCGAATTCTGGTCTAATTATGCAGTCCCAATACTCTTAATTACATTAACTATTATCTGTCATAACTGGGTTGTTTAATCAATTTTTTTAAAACATGATAACAGTATTGAAGCTCACGTGACATTGTCATGATTGTATATGGTCGCCTTAATTTCAGCTCATAGAAAATAAGTTTGTTTATATTGAAAAACGGAGCAAGGTAAACTAAATTTGTGTGAACTAGAACTTTAAAAATATCAGTTAGATATATACAGATACCAGTGTGGACAAAATTATAAAATGCAGGATAATATGGCACAATATGTTCACTAATTCTTTGTGTGATGTAAATGGTGGAAGTCAATATGTAGGACACACTAATGATCAGCTGTTGTATGAACATAATGTAAGTTATAAACATTTGAGACCTCAATCAGTAAGAAAGAGACAATTATCTGATGAAAACAATCACAGTTCAAGGGGAACACAATCATAAAACAACAAACATAAGAAATCGAAACAATGCGATAGTAACAACATGTTGAGTGCACCTTATGATAACACCCCATCAAACAGAATAGAAACACTGTTACTTCAATTATCATATAATTTAAATAATGTTAGTCAAAAACTTGAAAGAAGAATTGATGAACTAGAGATGAGTTTTGAGGAAAGGGTTTTTAAACAGTTATCAGAAAAAATATCTGTAATCATTGATAATAAACTAAAAGACAAGATAGATGAGGTGAAGTTAGAGGTAAAATCAGATATTGAAAAAATGCAAGCAAGAATCGGGGATTTAGAGAAATCATTAGCAGAGGCAAACAGCTCAAAAGGTGAAAAGTCAGATATAAACCGTAAGAATAGATTTGTTATAAAAAACTTACAATCTGAAGAAAATGAAAACAAAGAAGTGACCACAAACAAAGTCCAAGCCCTTTTGAAAGATGGTCTCGCCCTATCAAATATCACTCTTAAATCTGTAGAAAGAAAAGAAACTTCTGGTAAATCGACAGGACTGGTCATAGTGGAGGTTGAAAACTTTGAACACAAACAACGAATTATGAAACATAAGAAAAACCTAAAAAACAGTGCACAATATAAGAAGGTGTATGAAGAACATGATCTACCAATGGAAACACGTAATTTCCAAGCCACAGTTAGAACTGTTCTTAAAGAAATCGGAAGTCAAAATAATTATATGTTTGCCAGTAGTCGCCTGGTGAAAAAACAATAGGACATTTTGCGGCTTGGTGTTTGGAATTGTAGGGGGTGGTCTCTCAAGGACAATGACAATGCAAAATTTAGAAAGTGTGTGCTTGAATATTCTGAGTGTGATGTTTTGGCATTAACTGAAACGTTTTTACGTGGTGATGAAAGATTAAATATTCCTGGCTATATCTTCTTTGGTCACAATAGAAAAATTACATAGAAATGCTACCCGGGGATCTGTGGGAATTGGAGTTCTTGTGAAAAAAGACGTCTTATATTCATTTAATGTACTACTTTTAAATACGGAAATTGAGGGAATTATGTGGATAAAATTTCAATCAAAATTCTGTGATATATCGATTATTGTGGCTGTATGTTATTTGCCGCCAGCAGAATCAAGTAGAGCGCTAGATTCGGAAATGTATTTTCAAAATCTGTTACAACAAGTTCACGAATATCAAAATTTAGGCCAAATAATAATCTGTGGAGATTTGAATTCACGAGTTGGTCAAAACAGTGATTACGTTTAAGTCATTGATATACTACGACCACGAAATGTAGTAGATTTTTGTGAAAACCACCAGATTGATAAATTTATCTATTTTCTATGTGATATTAATTTTGCAATGTTGAATGGCCGCTTCAACTACCATGATTTCACATATATTGCGCCGACCGGGTCGTTTTGTTGTGTATTATATGTGTGTACCATACGAGGATATAGAATTTGTACATAATTTTAGTGTTTTAACGATGTCCAATAGTATAAATGAAACCAATAACATGCCTGAAAAAATCCCAGATCATTCACTGTTAATTTGTGATCTAATTATCGGATGTAAATATAACTCTAATACGACAAATGATGATATTAACTCTAATGTTCAAAACAAGAAATTTAAATTGACAAATCTACCAAACGATTTTATGAATAGAGATGAAATAGTTACAAAAGTCAATGAAGTACGGTAATCATGAATATTGAAAATTCAATTTGAATTACTGAAAATGTTCAAACTGTGTATGATGAATTTCAAATGCTGATACACGGGGAAATGGAAAACAAATTACCCAAGAAAACTTTTAATAACGGAATAAGTAAACGTAAAAAGACATTATATAAACCATATTGGAATGCTGACTTAACAAATCATTGGAACAAGGTTTGTGAAGCTGAAAATAGATGGTTAAAATGGCAAGGATCAAATAGTGTTAAAAAGAAGTACAAAACAGAATTTTGTGATGCTCGAAAACATTTTGATAGAATAAATCGAAAATATAAACGGAAATATGTGAAAGATGAACAATACAAACTTGAACAGAAACTAGACTCGGTTAATAAAGATGAATTTTGGAGGTCCATCCGCAAAACCGGAAAGTAGTAAATGAATTGAAAACATGCGTGCCATGGGCAGTCGTTAATGTAAATAGAAATGTGAAAACGGACAAGGAAGGCGTTCTGAACAAGTGGAAAAACGATTTTCAGACATTATTTACAAGTGAATCTACAGACAACAAACGAGCAAATGAAACTTTTGATTCCCATTTAGATGTTACAAAGTTAAATGAGGTAATTACACGAGAAGAGGTTTTCTTAGCCGTTGCGCGTGTGAAAAACTGAAAAGCTGCGGGGATTGATAATATACCAGCCGAAGTTTTAAAGAACGATGCCGCTATTGAATTGCTGTACAAAATTTTTCAGGGGTGTTTAGAAATCGGCCAGGTACCAAATGAGTGGACAACTGGGATTATAAATCCAATTTTAAAACCTGGAGCAAGCGACAACAGATGTCCCCTGAATTATAGTGGCATAACTTTAATATCTGTACCGTGTAAAATATACTGTTCGGTAATAAATAATCGTCTTAGCAAATGGCTTGAAGAAAATGACTGTCTCTGTGATGAGCAAAACGGATTTCGGCGTGGCCGCAGTTGTGAAGAACACATTTTCGCATTGTATTCAGTTTTAAATGATAGAAAAATCAGACAGAAATCAACATATGTATGTTTCGTGGATATGAAAAAAGCGTTCGATACTGTAAGGCGGGATTTACTATGGTACAAGCTTCAAGTTATGGGAATTTGTGGTCAATTTTTAAATGCAATCAAATCATTATATGAAGATGTTCAGTGCACGGTTCAAGTGAATAATATGTTAACACCATGGTTTGATGTGTCATCTGGAGTTAAACAGGGATGTATTCTCTCGCCTACGTTATTCTCTGTATATGTAAATGACTTAGCCGACTGTATTAACAGCCTTGACTGTGGAGTGTCTTTAAGTGAAAGAACATTAAGCATTTTGCCATATGCTGATGACATTGCATTAATCGCGCCGGACAAACAGAGTTTACAGCGTATGCTTAATGTCCTTACAGACTGGTGCTCATCTTGGAAGTTGTCCATAAACCCAGAAAAGAACAAAGTTGTTCACTTTAGAACGCAATCGTTTGATATTTCAGACTTTAATTTTACATGAAGTAATTATGATTTAACCATGACGGATTCTTATAAATACCATGGGATTTGTCTTGACAAACATCTTACATTTACAAAAAATACCAAGGAACTAGCAAAATCAGCAAGCCGAGCTTTGGGGCTGTTTTTGGACGTTTTATTTCATCCGGTGGTATGTCATATAAAGTTTATACAAAATTGTACAACTCAATGGTGGAGCCTATTTTAATGTACGGAAGTGGAATTTGGGGAACCAAATCGTTTAGGTAGCACTCCACAGTTAGAAAAAAACATTAAAATTGAACCACAAAATGTTTTATCATCTTCTATTCCTGGCTTTCTAATACATTAACCTAACTGTTTGTGTTATACATGTGCATATGTATGTTATCAGTATCTTCCATAGATTTGATTTTTAAAAGTTAAAATGGTGAAAAATAATTCCTTTTTTGTGTATCCATGGCAACATTCTGCATTTATTTACCATAAAATATTGCAAAAAGGGGGGCAAAAATGTCACATATTCCCCCAAAATTTGGTTCAAACTAGAATTTCAATGCCTTTCAGTGATACCTTTTCAGAAACTGTTGATATAAATCTACCAAATGATCAAATAAAAAATGGGTGTCTTTCGCCTCATTTTTTCATAAAATTTAATTGCAAAGTTCGTGCGACAAAAAGTCGGAAAAAAACATTACAATAATTGCCGGACCAATATTTGGTATGGATATGAAAATACGGACTGTCATACAGAAAACAGCCCATATTACATACATTACATAATCTTGAGGTTCCTATAAACCCACTATGAAGGCTATTTTAATCTTCAGCT